TTGAATTGTGCCTTTGAAAGCCATGTACTGCCCACTCCTATCTGATCTAACATCTTTGTAACTATCATAACCAAAACTACTCTCAGCAAGTCACTGGCTCCAGTGTCCTCGAGTTAAGAATGTAATATCATCAGCATCTGAAGCCTGTAATCTGTGTTTCATGTGCTTTGTTGAAACCTATCTGCCCTTGTTACCTAATAGTGTAGCTTTACTCTAGATACCTGCATTTAAAATAGGTAATTATGATTTTCTGCATTCATGGGTGTTTGTCATAATGTCTCTTTTATCTAATTTTAGTAATTTGGGTCTTTTCTTTACGTTAGTTTGGTTAGTCTATCTTGTTTATCTTTTTAAAAACCAACTCTACTTCATCGTTCTTTGTGTTTTCCTGTTTCATTAACCTCTACCCTGACCTTATTTCTACCGATTGCTTCAGGGTTTGATTTGTTCTCGTTTTTCCAAGGCCTTCTGGAGAATTTTGTTTTTATTTTTCTATGCATGTGTGCTGTGTGTGACACATAGCATGCATGTAGAGGTCTGGAAACAACTTTGTGGAGTTGGTTCTCTCCTTCCACTTTTAAGTGGGCCCCAGGGATTTAATTCAGGTTGCCAAGCTTGCATGGCAACTGTTTTATCCATAGAACTATATTGCTGGGCTATTTGAGATTTTTTTTGACTTTATAAACATTGTGTCATTTTTGTCTATGTAACAACATGGGGCAAAACTCAGTCTACCCCTAAAATTCCTGAAAACAATGAAATAACAAACCTTTGGCCACTTCATTTTTAACTTACTATGAACTAATATTTCAACTCTTTGTGAGCCTATAAATGGATATATATTTTAACTGTAATTTATTTACATATTAAATGTAAGCATTTTAGGATTGAGGAGGAGGGTCGAGACAAGGTTTCTCTGTGTAGCCCTGGCTGTCCTGGGACTAGCTCTGTAGACCAAGCTGGCTTCAGACTCACAGAGATCTGCCTGCCTCTGCCTCCCAAATGATGAGGTTAAATGAGTATGCCACCACCACCCAGCTTAGGATTTTTTTAACAAATACAACAGTGATATGTTTATACCACTTATATATAGGGATTATTGCCTGTCTGCATTTCCCTCATTCTTTGTCTTACTGAGATATAAAAACCAGTTTTTCCAGGTTATTAGCTAGCCCTAGCTAAAATACAGACATTTAGGATAGAATTTTAAAAACTGGAATACTTTATCTCAGTCAGAGCCAACAAAATTGTAGATAGTAAGACATTAATTTTGAGCTTTCTGAATTATTTGAGTCTGGCATTTTCAAATGTTAATTCTGAAAACTAAGGCTAAAAAAAAAGAAAAAACATTTATAAGAGCAGTAACTAATGTCTTACATTTGGTTGATAATTAAATTATTAAAACATGCTTTTATTAAATGCTTGTCTTAATCAGTGTTCTATTGCTGTGAAGAAACCATGTCCATGGTAACTCTTAGAAAGAAAGCACTTAACTGGGGATGGCTTACAGTTTCATAGGTTTAGTCCATTATCATCATGGCAGGAAGCATGGGGGCAGGCAGACACAGTGCTGGAGAAGGAGCTGAGAGTTCTGTATCTGTATCAGTAGGCAGCAGGAAGAGAGAGACTCTGGGCTTAGACAATTTTCTTGAAACTTCAAAGCCCATCCACAGTGACACAACAAGGCCACACCTCCTAATCATTTAAAGTAACACCCTCCCTGGTGACAACTATTCAAATCTATGAGTCTATGGGAGCCATTCTCATTCAAACCACCACAATGCTCAAATTAAAATGCCTTTTGCTAATCAAACTTAATATATACATTTAGAATATTTTTAAAAGTTAAATAACTAGCTTATATGTGGAGAAACTTTTACATGTTTTCTAGACTTTACCCTATGTTAAATATATTTTGATTTGTTGAAGTCAATTTGCTACTAGATGAACTTGTCACTCAACATTAATTCATTGCTATTAAATAATACTTAAGAGATTAGATAAAAACCCAATCTTGTGCACAGAAAGACAATATTGAATTTAGTCTGATCATTATTTGATATTTGTAACGGACAACTCCCTTGTGAAGTGTACAGCATGATGCTATGTAAGTCAGTTTCTGACAGGTGCAAGCTAATAAAATTTCAGAATTTTTTTTCTTTCATTTTTCAGATATGTTATAATGGTGGTGACGTTGCAAATATACAAGTAATGTGGACCAGTCTGACATCGCTGGTCCCAAAAAATTCCTGTCTCTTCCTTTGTCCCTCCAGAAAAAAAGTAACCATTTGCTAGCTCCTCCCTTTTTAATCCGAAACTACAATTTCAGTTTCAGATAACAGAGAAAGATGTCTGACAGTATTTTCCCCTCTTGTGTATTTTGCTAAGACAAGCTCATGGTCCAATGTCAGTTACTGTCTTGGCCAGCTCTTGTGAAAATGAGACATTCTTTAACTCTCAAACTCTTCTAAGACCAAGAAAAGCAACATGTTAAGAGCCTTTCTGACAATCCAAGCTGCAGTAAAGTCTGCCTGAGATGTACTACCTTTATCTCATAGTAAGGACAGATTTTTCTACAATAAAATAATATTTTGTAATAAAAGATATTTCCAAAATAGAAAATAAAGACAAAACTAGAAGGATAAAGTATGCTATAAACAGGTTTATAAGCAATGAGACACATACTTACTGTATACATATATTAATTTTACCATAGTTAACCTTTAAAGCTTATTAAAAATGCCTTAAACAGGTTGGGAAATAGATCAGCAGCTCTTTCAGAGGATTCAGGTTCAATTCCCAGCAACCATATGGCAGCTCACAACTGTCTGTAATTCTAGTTCCAGGGAAACTCATCTCTTATTTCTGTCCCTGTCACTAATAATACTTGGCACACAGAAAAGAGACAATTTTTCAAGAAAAATTTTAAATGGTATTGTTATCTGATTTCTTCTGTGACTTTTCCATCTACATCCCTAAACTCTGATGTAATAACAAAATAATGGGACAAATACAGTTTTTAATCACAGGAGTTATAATAACCTAAACATTTAAGGCTAATCTTCCTAAAGTCTGAACTAGCCACTCCACATAGTTATGTAATCAAACTCGTAAAAAGGAAAACTAGAATACTCCAAACAAAACATTGCATATAGTTCAAAGGACTATAGACACAGGGAAACATGAGCAGTCAGCCTGGTCAATTAAATTGATTGTCCCTCTCAGCTGCTACCTTTACTTCTTTAGACCACACTGTTATTATTTCAAGACCAGATCTCATGTAGCTCAGGCTATCCTTGAACTCATCATGTAGCTGAGGATGACCCTGAACTCTCTAATCATTACCTCTGCTTCCAGTTTTAAAGTGGTAGGACTTGAACCCAGAGCTTCATGCATGAAAGGCAAGCACTCTAAAAACTTACCTACATACCTTAACTACCATGTTAATTGGGAAAGGGGGAGTTGGAAGGGGCTTGAGACAGGCTCTTTGAGCATCTCTGGCTATCCTGGAACTTACAGTATAGACCAAACTGGCTCAAACTCAAGAGACCCACCTTTTCCTCCTGAGTGCTGGAATTAAAGGCATGCACCACATTGCCTATTTTCTTAACTATTTTAAGTGTAAGTATATTACTCCTAAAATGTCAGATACAAAGAAAAAATAATCAGACTCAGGTTGTAATAGGTGGATTTACTTCTTAATGACTTTAGAAACTGTTCCTCTCTCCTAGACTGCATTCCTGTCTATTCAGCCTAGTCTTTTTCAGACAGTATTACTAGCCTTGTGGAACAAAAACATTTGGCCTCTGCCTGCACAAAATGTGACTGTTTGGCCATTATGGAGACCTGTGAATGAACTTCCCAAAAAGAAAATCCTCATCTGTGCTGAAGATTCTACATTAGCCGGGCAGTGGTGGCGCCGCCTTTAATCCCAGCACTCGGGAGGCAGAGGCAGGCAAATCTCTGTAAGTTCAAGACTAGCCTGGTCTACAGAGCTAGCTCCAGGACAGGATCCAAAGCTACACAGAGAAGAAGCCCTGTCCCCAAAAACCAAAATAAATAAATAAAAATTGGGTCTGAAGAGATGGCTCAGCGGTTAAGAGCACTGGCTGTTCTTTCAGAGGTCCTGAGTTCAATCCTCAGCAACCACATGGTGGCTCACAACCATCTGTAATGAGATCTCCTGCCCTCTTCTGGTCTGCAGGCATATACATGCAGATAGAACACTGTATACGTAATAAATAAATCTTTAAAAAATAAAAAGATTCTACAAGACCAAATGATTGAACATGAACATGGTGATTAGGAGAATTAAGATATTGCAGACCAAGAGGCAAACTGTCTTGGGCTATTTTTAGTGCTTTAGAAAGCCATTCACTGCCCACCTCTGTGTCTGACCTAACATCTTATGATTATCAAAACCTTTAAAATATGTTTTAGAAAAAATTTTTAAAGCAAAAAACAAAATCAGAAGTGTATTCTTGGCAAACCACGAGCTGCCACCAATCCAAAGCTTAATAATATCACCAGATAGCATCTGAAAACTAACCAACTTTTCCTGCTTTTCCATGACCTACCTGTGGGCACCACACCAACGCACTGATTCATGACTTTAGTCTTTTTTTAAATATTTACTTATTTAGGTGCATTGATGTTTTGCCTGAGTATCTGTGTGAAAGGAGGTATCTGATCCCCTGGAACTGCAATTATAGATAGCTGTGCACTGCATGTGGGTACTGGGAAATGAACACAGGTCCTCTGGTAAAGCAGCCAGTGCCTCAGCCTGGTCTACAGAGGAGTTCCAGGACAGGCTCCAAAACAATACGATGGGTGGGGACACAGACAACACAACTAAGGGATTGGTTTAACCCATTGCCTAAGTGAAGATAATTGGGTTTTGTACTGTACAGAAACAGAAGGTCTTGATTGCTCAAGCATAGTTGTGAAATACTTGTATAAAATGCCTGCAAATTCATCTTGTCTCCTCTCTTAAATTCCAGGTCCTGCAGTAGACTGGTGGGCACTTGGAGTCTGCTTGTTTGAATTTCTAACTGGAATTCCCCCTTTTAATGATGAAACCCCACAACAAGTATTCCAGAATATTTTAAAAAGAGGTGATTCTTATTTCTCTAGTAGATAGAATCAAGGTTGGAAGATGTAGCTCAGTTGTAAACACTTATCTAGCACATAGAAGATCCTTAATTCCACAGAACAACAAAAAAAATATTTCTAGTTGGAAGTGATTAACAAACCTGTTTAATAAAGGTATTTTAATATAAAGTTAAGTATGGGGTCATATGGGTATGAGGAAAAGAGGCACTCAAAACAAAGTAGGATGCAACCAGATTATGTATCAACTTCTCCAAAGTTTGCAGAAAGTAGGACATACCCAAGTGTGGATTCCCCAAGGAAGAGTCAAACAATTTTACTTATATATTTGTATTTGTAGACATCCCCTGGCCAGAAGGTGAAGAAAAGTTATCTGATCATGCTCAAAGTGCAATAGAAATACTTTTAACCATTGATGATACAAAGAGAGCTGGAATGAAAGGTAAGGTTTTTTTTGTCAATGAATTATTTTATGCTTGCTTGGTTCCAGGTAGTAATTATAACATACAATACAATAATCTGACTGTTGAATGATAGAAGAATAGTGTATGTCTTTATTTTAATGTAAAACTCAGTGCATTGTAGTTGCAACTTACATACTGAATTTCCCAACTTTCCATGAGGTACCAGAAAGTTTTACATTGTATCTTGGGTTTTCTATACCTTATAGTCAACTATCTGTAAGTATAGCAAGTCTATTTATGAATATCCTGTTGTGTAATTTTGTACCATTTAATTTCTGATTCCATTACTAACAAAGCACTTAGTCCCAGGTGCCTCAAACAAAACATATTCAGTACGTTGGAAGCCATTGGGAGGCTTTTTAATGCTTGGGAATGTATACTTGATCTAACTTGAAACTGAGGTAAAGCTCATTGACAGCAGCCTTAAAATCATTTTTTCTTTCTTAGCTGGGTGTTGGTGATGCCCTCTTCTTACCTCATTAGGGACCAGGCATTCATGTGGTATACATACATACATGTAAACTTTTTAATTTTAGAGACAAGGTCTTACTATGTATCTCTGGTTGGCCTGTAACTCACTATATAGACAAGGCTAGCCTCAAACTCACAGAAATTCACCTATTTTTTCCAAGTGTTAGAATTAAAGGCATACAGCCCAGGTCCAAATAAAAATAAATCTTTTTCTATAAACATTTAAGAGGAGGTGTATCTGTTTAAAGCATATTTGAGGCTAAAATGTCTAACAATTGGGGAGAATATTGTAAAATTATGAAATTTAGGATTTTTTTTTTCTGGTTACACTGATAATACTTTTTTGTTGGTTTTTGGTGGTGGTGGTGGTTTTTTTTTTTTTTTTTTTTTTTTTTTGGTTTTTCGAGGCAAAGTTTCTCTGTATTGTTTTGGAGGCTGTCCTGGAACTTGCTCTGTAGACCAGGCTGGCTATGAACCTGCCTCTGCTTCCCCGGTGCTGGGATTAAAGCTGTGTACCACCAATGCCCGGCTAGAAAACAAACAGTGAAAGATGAACTTCATGGAGCATAAAGATTGTCACGATATGACAGGTGGCTGAGGACGTAAAATGAGAATTGGAGCATTAGTCATACGAGTTCCAGAGGTAGGGAAAAAGTAAGCCAATTGTCTTCAAATGAGGGATTGTGTGAGAAGATGATGGCATCAAGAAAGATCCACTTTACCAAGTTCATTCACTTGTAGTACAAATAATAAAAACCCAGAGACAGATATTGGGGTTCAAGCTGTAGATCAGAAGAGCAAAGCAGCCAGCCAGTAATTCTTACCTCTAACAAGGGCTGGAGAGATCCTGTCCTCACCATGACTGGAAACTAAGTTCCACATGAGACCCTTTGATTCTTCCTTATATATCTCTCTAGTGCTGGGATTAAAAGCATGAGCTCTGTTACTCTTTTAAACTGATTTATTCTCATGTAGTCCTGGGTGGCCTTGAACTCACAGAGATCCATCTACCTTTGTCTCTTCAGTTCTGGGATTAAAGTTGTATGCCACCACTGCCCAGCTTCTATGGCTGTGACTAGCTTTGCATTCTGATCCTTCTGGCAAGCTTTATTTTATCATAAATTTCACCACATTCACTCAATAGACAAGTATAAACCAGGCACCTATAATATAAGGTGGTATACAAAATGGTACAATACAAAGTATATAGCCTGATACGGAGACAAACATTAAACAAATACCAATGGTATTTGGTATAACAAAGTAGGGCAAGATACATATAAGACATTCTCTTTTTAATTCTTGAAAGCAGAGCTTAAGTAATGGCATCATAATATTGTTTTTGGTTTTTTCCATATTTCTCCCTTAAGAACTGAAACATCATTCTCTCTTCAGTGAAGTGGACTGGGAAAATCTGCAACATCAAACGATGCCTTTCGTACCCCAACCAGATGATGAAACAGATACATCCTATTTTGAAGCCAGGAATAATGCTCAGCATCTGACCATATCTGGGTTTAGTCTGTAGAACATACATGACATTTTTAACTAACCTTGTGATATAGAATTAAGCTTTCCAATAATATATTCCTTAGTACTAAATTGATCTAACATGATAGAAGTCATTATTTTACCAAGACTAATGAGCTTTCAATTACTAAATACAACAGCTTTTACAGAGTTAAAATACTTTAAGAAATATGTAATTTATCTTTACGTTAAACTGCATATAAATAATCAAGGCTTTTTTCATCTTAATATCTTATTTAGTTGCTGCACTTTATGAAAACTAACATTATCGATAAACTAAAACACTACTATGCTATACAGAGGGAATGAACCATAAGCTTGTCTACATCTGCTGATTTCATTATTCTGTTGGCTTTGGCTTTACTATCAAACAAACAAAAAAGGGCTATTTCATTTAATTTGTACATGGTTGCCTGCAAAACTGTGGTCTCAGGGCAGCCATAAAAGATAATACATGACTATCAAAATCATTTGAGCCAGACATGCTGGAACAAGCCTGAAGACCCCATATCAAGAGGCGAACACAAGACAGGAGTATGACTGCAATTTCAAGAGTAAGGCCCCCCGGTACACCTCTAAGCTGGAGACCAGCCAGGACTATAGTGAGGCCCTTTCTTGCAGAGCTTTAAAACAATAAAAAAGGTAGCTGGAAAACTATTACTCAGTAGTTAACTTTGCAGCGTGCAGCTCCTGCTGATAGACTTGCTGCCTGGTTGCTTCTGTTGCACAATCCACAATCCCTGTTTAAGAGTTCTAGAAAGGTGGGTGTAGCACTTTCAGCAATTTTAATAGCTTGTTCAGTTTTAATAGAAAAACTGTATACTTTATATCTTATCATTTCTAATATCATCAGAGACAAATAATAATATAATTTTGCCTAGTAACTGTAACTAATGATTGTCATCAACATTCTTTCCAAAGAATGTACTAAGAATCAACTCATAAGTCTTAAACTAATTGAGGCTTTTAGCATTTCCTGAGAACAAAATTAAGATTTAAATGTACCATAGGTAAGGTTTTGCTAATAACCTTTTGAACACTGACTTTAGAGTTTCTACTTTCCATTACCACCTACCGAATCACAGCCCAGATATAATGTAGTTTGCAAAGATGAAACAAGTTTATATCTGTTCCAATAAAAGACAAAGCATAATCGGTTCTGGGTATTGAATCCTTGGGTTAAAGGTTTTACTCTGCTTATTTTAGTAATGACTACTTAATTTTCCAGTTATCTTTTTCAATAAAAATGTTTAAAATCCAGTTACTACAACTTCATTTAAAGTGAGTCACACTTTTGGGTGACAGCATATTCTATAGACTGTTTACTCAATCTGTCATCCATTTATAGTGTTTTTAAGTAGAAAACAAAGTCTTTGGGATCAAAAAATGGTTAAACAATTGTGCACCACATCAAAATGCAGGTTAATATTGAGCACCAATATACTGATGATTGATATAATTACTTTGGAGGCTGGAGATAGAGAACACTTACTTAGTATGCCTAGAATCCTGGGTTCAATCTCCAGTAACACATACACAAATACTAATTACTTTGTAGGATTAGAGTAAACAGATTAACAAACTAGGGGTCCAAGGATTCCTGGCCTCTGAGAGCTCTGGATCCCAGTTATTTAAAAATGAGTCTGCAGAAGCAAACCCCTAGTGGCTTCTTAAAGCAAATCATTGGACAGTGGGTTACAGTAAAATTAAATTCTGCTGTGGATTATTGAGAGGTGCTGACCTACCTGGGGCTACATGAATAAAGTACTGGACTAAACAAAAAAGTATGTCAGTGAAGGGCTAAATAAACATAGTGATACATTTATTCAAGGAAACACTGTGCTATAAGTACACAGAAGAGAAACAGTTCTTTTCATGTATTTTTTATAAAATGTTTTTTTCTACTTTTTGGTTCTCTCATAAGTTGGCCTGTTTTCATAGTAGTTGGTGGTGTTTTTTCATGACAGTGAATCATAAACACTTTGCACACTTATGTTTCATTTTATTTTACCTGTATGTACAGAATATAAAGAATAAAAAATAAAAATAAAAAAGCATTTATCCTTTCATGATTATTTAGCCTAAGGTTCCAGCAGTGTTTTCTTTTGATTGTGTGATAGATTCAATGAGAATGATCCCTATAAGCTTATGTTTGAATACTTGGTCCCTGGCTGGTGGAACTGTTTGGGAAGGATAGGAAGTATGTCACTGAGGGTGAGCATTAAGGTTTCAAGACTCAGATCACTCCCAGTGTGCTCTCTGCCCCTGCTTGTGGCTAAGATATGAATGCTCAGATGCTGCCTGCTGCCTCTGTTTCACCATTGAGAACTCTATCCCTCTGAAACCATTAGCCCCAAATTAGTATGTTGCCTTGGTCATGTTGTGTTAATCACAGCAATAGAAAAATAACTAATACAGATAATTTACTTATTCAACTGACTAAATGGGATGTTACATGAATGTGTAATTAAAACATTCTGGAAAACAAAAACTAGGGCCAGCAAGATAGTTCAGTGAGTAAAAGCACTTGCCACCAAACCTGATCACTTAAGTTCAGTCTCCAGGAACCACACAGTGGGAAAAGAACTGCAAGTTATTTTCTGACCTCCATACATGTGCTGTGGCATGGGCACATGCACTCTCAAAAACACTAAAACCTGAAACATTACTGAATTGGACTTATTTCTGAAAATAAAGACAGGGCCCTTGTTGTAGGGTTTCTATGGCTGTGATGAATGCCATGATCAAAAAGCAACTTGGAGAGGAAAGGGCTTATTTAGCTTACTCTTCCACAGCACTGTTCATCATCAAAGGAAGTCAGGACAGGAACTCAAACAGAGCAGGAACCTGGAGGAAGTAGCTGATGCAGAGGCCATGGAGGGGTGCTGTTTAACGGCTTGCTCAGTCTTTTTTTTTTTTTTTTTTTGGTTTTTACGAGACAGGGTTTCTCTGTATTGTCTTGGAGGCTATTGGTCCAGCCCGGCCTCGAACTCACAGAGATCCACCTACCTCTGCCTCCCGAGTGCTGGGATTAAAGGCATGTGCCACCACCGCCCGGCTTGCTCAGTCTTTCTTATAGAACCCAGGACCACCATCCCAGGGATGGGATGGGCCCTTCCCCATCAATCACTGATTTAGGAAATGCCCTATAGCCAGATCTTATGGTGACATTTTCTCAATTGAGGTTCCCTCCTTTCAGATAACTCTAGCTAGTGTCAAGTTGATATAAAATTAGCCAACACAGCCCTTTAAGAGAAAAATTACAATATGCTATCACAGACATGGCATATGCAGCTACAGTCACCTACCAATTCTGCCACTAGGTAGGGCATATTTTTATAGTATTTATTGAAAATAAATGATTTCTCATCGAAATGTACACCTGTCAAGAAGCTACATTCAGACACTGGTTAAAGAGAAACCAAAACAAGGAGATAATCAATCTTGGCTGTTCCCCACAGAAATCAACCCATCTGAAGAAATAAGAATGTCACCCCCAAATATTCCTCTTTCACATAAATATTGTTTGAGCTACAGGCAATGTGAAACAGAAAACACTAGGAACTATCTATCCTTCTGTATATGGATAGGTAGGTATAAATTCTCCTGCACTGGAGACAACTCTACTGTGAACCAAGAGACAGGACCAGAGGAATCTAAGCAAAGATGACTCTTATACCTTTACATCCCCAGCTTCACATCTGTGGAAAATTAAAATGATTTTCTTTGTCCTTTGTAGGCAGCAGCAAGAGGACTGCTTCAAGTCTGAGGCCAGTCTAAGATACACAGTAAAATCCTATCTATTTTTTTCTAATATCCTCAATCAGATAACAAAATGAGTTAAATTGCATTCATTTCTAAAATTTTTATCAAATTACACATAACATGGCTTTATTTATTTTCATGAATCTCTTCTCTCTGCATGGCACTTGGGACTAAGCCATGGGCCCTCACACTCTTGGCACATGGAAGAACTGTATCTCCTGCCTGCTACTCAGGGTTACTTTACAAGAACTACTGTTTGTTCTCATTTTAGCTTTGTAAACAATAAGTACATTAACCAGTAATTAAAAAAACATTTCATTTCTCATTAACCTTTTATTTTTAACTTAGTTTTACAATTAACAGAAAAGCTGATCATTAAAAAAATACCATAGCTGTCAATTTTTAAAATGAAGCTTATGTTTTAAAGCATTACCATTATATCCTATAATTACATCTTTTATATACAACAACTGTGTGCAAAGTGTTTTTCACACTGTAAAGTAATTCTGGCATAAGATATAAATGGTTGCCTTTAGGAGTTAGTTACCTTGACTACTTGCAATGAATCACAACTTGTTACACCCTTGATTTACATTTTTATGTAAGAAAAAAGCCATCATTTTATTATATCAACTTGTTGTCTAATTAAAATAAATAAATTCTTGATCCACACTTTGTCAATAATTCAGTTATTTGCTTTTTTCCCCCTTCTAAATAAGTAGAAGATAAATTTGGGTTTGTTTGTTTTGTATCTTAAGCAAATACTGGTAGCTCCTTTAAACAAATCAAGATATGATATACAATTTAAAACTAAGTTACAAAAAACAAATGAAGTCTGGGACAAGCAAATCATATTCTCATACTTTTTTCTTCAAAGAACAATCATATATACTAGATAAGGATTCTTCCACTCTTACTGAAAATTTTCAATACCTAATGCTAATCCCCCCAACATCATACATATCAAGAATGCATTAATTTTTTTTTTAACTATACAAAGCTAGCCATGATGGTGCATGCCTGTGGTCCCAGAATTGGACAGGAGACAGGAACAGCAGGTGTTCAAGGTCATCTTTAGCTACATAATGAACTGGAGGTTGGCATGAGCTACTGAGACTCTGTCTCAAAAGAAAAAAGGGGGAATTTGCTATAAAGTTTTAAAATTACATCTTCAAAGCATAAGGTATAAGTGAGCACAGGTTTTGGAAAGGATTATCTTTCAAATATAGTCTTCAGGATGAAATTAATCTTCCTCTTGGTCTAATGGCCAGAAGGAACTTAAGTTTCCATTAGTTAGGCATTCCTTAATCATGTGGACACAGATGGCCTGTATATTTAAAGTCCTAATACCTTGTGAAGTACACCCCAAAGGAAAACCTGAGGCACTAAGAGGTTAAGAATTCAAACTGGAGTTTACCACTTGTAGGAAAACAAAACAAAAAAGGATATTTGTGTGTTGTCCTTAGTAAAAATAGTATAAATAAGTTTTCATTTTTTGCAAAGCACCCTATGAAACAGACATTGGATATCCTCACTTAAAGAAAAATGATTATAAAGGGTTAAGTATATGGTTGAATTAAAATCGGAGAATTCTGTGTCAGCTTGGAATATATTTTTACACATACACTATGTCTGTTCTTCATCTTTCCCATTTCCTTCATCAAGTTAAGTCTATTCAGTGAATCATTTGTAAAAAGCAACCACAACAGTACAAAAGACGATGATCTTCTGAGTTGTAAAAGCCCAAGAATTCTATGCAGACCACAAAGAACACAAAGGATTCTTCCATCAATTTTCTGCTACCTGGCTGACAGTTCAATGACTGATACAAAATTGATTTAACCTCATTTAAATCCACTGTGTTGCATTCTTTCTTGCATTGAATTTAGAAAAGTACATATTATAAATCTTATAATCATAACAATGCCTTAGAAAAGCAGGTTATATTTCTATGGGAGAAAATCAGGTAAACATGTTACCAAACAGTAATTAATAACTTAATGTCCTTCAAGCTCAAAAAAAGTTTAAGTCTATGTATGCTGCTTAAAACCTAGTTGAGATTGATCTTTCAAGTATCAGCAATATTATTCCTTAAAATGTTATCATTTCTGTAGTGCAAATAATACATACATATATATGTATATATATATAAACCAAACTACTGGACAAAAAAGAAATGTAGTATCACAAACTGAGATTTTCTTGTGAAATCCATAATCCCATTTCATTTCTTAGGTCATCCAGGCCCAGGAATCTTCTTGAGTAAAATGCTATTTTCTTCAGTTTAGTTTTCTTTAAAAAGAAAGTAAAAAAGTAAGTATAAATGCAACCTGAATATCAAGCACATTCATACCAAAACATCTTCTGGACAATAACACAGCATTCAAATTCAAGATAAAGCTATAAAACTACAAATTATCATTATGAAGTTACTTCATGTGACTTATTATCAAAGACTTTTCTGTGTATTTATTCATTTATCACTGGCGCTGAGGACTAACCCCAGAGTGCTTTTGAGTGATAAGCATACACAGTATATCAAGCTATTATATACCAGCTCACAAGCAGTTTTGATAAATAAATTTCAATTTATATCTCTCCTTTTGCCTTCTAATTCTCATACTTTTTTTTTTTTTTTTTTTTTGGTTTTTACGAGACAGGGTTTCTCTGTATTGTTTTGGAGGCTGTCAGTCCAGCCCAGCCTCAAACTCACAGAGATCCGCCTGTCTCTGCCTCCCGAGTGCTGGGATTAAAGGCGTGCGCCACCACCGCCTGGCATTCTCATACTTTTCTAACTGGCTATTATACAATTAATACTTGAGAAAATTCAGAATTTTATGATATGAAACAAAAACGTTAAACAACCCAGACTTATTTTCAGGTACTCTACCAGAGTTTCAAAAGTTAAATATGGCAGGCTCCTAGCTCAGTTCAGAGGCAAGAGAGGTTTAGGGGAGACAGAGAAACGTACTCCTCAAAACATGGATACATGTGACAGTTTTAATGAAAGTAGAGCAAGCTACTAGATAATACGGGTAGTCTTGCTAGTTTTGAGCACAACCTTCAATGCATGATTTGCAAAAGTCTCCACACCACTGGAAAAAATATATAGCGACTCAGGATGCCAAACTGCCTGAAACTCTCAGTACAGATTGAGTCCTCTCTCTAAACATACTCTTACTATGCAACTCAATGCCAGTAATATTTCATCATTTTATTATGTGTTTTATATATATATATATATATATATAATATTTCATTATTTTTAATTATTTCCAGAAGAGGGCATCAGATTCCCTAGAGTTAGGGACAATTGTGAGCCATCAACGTGGGTACTTCCTCTGAAGAATGGTATATGCTTTTAACAGCTGAGTCATCTCTCTAGCCATAAGGTGTAGTATTTTAAAGATTCAGGTCCTTTAAGTTCCATAGGAAAACCTCTTATATATACTTCCTTGGCATGAGTGACATTTTAAATAATCAGTTTTAATCAACACAAGATCTCTGCATCAAGAACAAAATGCCCATGAAGAAGAAAACTGAAATGCCTGGCAAAGAGATATGGGTGGTTCTGAAGATAACAGCTTGCAAAGGTGTAGAGAAATGTTAGCTGTCGGGTGCCTGCACAGTTCACTACACTTATCAGGGAACACACAGTGCAGATTGCTATACACGGTTCTTAGTTCCTTCCTGAACTTCCAATCTTCCAAAGTGCCAATAAGTATCAATCATGATCTTCAGAACTTTCAGAGTGTTTTTCAAGTTTTTAAAGGATCTTTGTTTTGTATACTGAAATATCTTTAATTAGCTTACAAAATAGAGGATGTAGTATATTATTGGAAAGAAAAATCATAAAGGAAGGAATAGCAGTTCAGTCTTTCCCCTCTCCCAGGTACACTCTATGAAGACTGTATATGGATGTCCCTCTGCTGTAAAGCCTCCCTATCTAATGACATTCACCATGCTACAATACCAGTACTTGCTACAGACATTTTTCCTCTGCAGAAGTATGTAATATGCCCAACTCTCCTGGTCTGACTTTTTATGTCAGTATCTGACACATGCTTGCTCCCTGGGCTTAAGAATATTCCTCTCACTGGGCAGTGGTGGCGTACGCCTTTAATCCCAGAACTTTAGAGGCATAAACAGGAAGGTCTCTGTGAGTTCAAAACCAGCCTGATCTACCGAGTGAGTACCAGGACTGCCAGGACTGTTTCACAGAGAAACCCTGTCTACACGTTCTAGGGCTGGAGAGATAGTTAAGAACACTTACTGCTCTTCCAGAGGACCCGGGTTCAATTCCCCACCTACATGACAGGTCCTTGCTGTCGAGAACTCCAGTTCTAGGAGATGCGGCAGTCTCATACAGACATGCATGCAGGTAAAACACCAAAGAACATAAAATTTTTTTAAAAAATTGTTCTAATTTTAGGTGGGCGGTGGTGGCGCACGCCTTTAATCCCAGCACTCGGGAGGCAGAGGCAGGTGGATCGCTGTGAGTTCGAGGCTGGGCTGGACCAACAGCCTCGAAAACAATACAGAGAAACCCTGTCTCGTAAAAACCAAAAAAAAAAATTGTTCTAATTTAAAAAAAATACCCTTTCCATCAAATTAACAACTTTAAAAAGTTGTCTTCTGTCTCAGCACTTGGGAGTTTGAGGCTAGCCAGGAATATATATAATGAGACTCTTCTGACTGCTCTTGGGATTCTTTCCCTCCTGTTGAGTTGCCAAGTCCAACTTTGATATGATAGTTTGTGCTTCATCTTATATATTTTATTTTTGTCATATTTTATTGTTAGCTCCTAAAAGTCCAGTTCTTTTCTAATGACAAATAGAAAGGAAGTAGATCTGGAGGGGAAAGGAGGTGGGAAGGAACAAGGAGAAATAGAAGAAGGAGGAATTATAACTAGGATATAGTATATGAAAAAAGAATCTATTTTCAATAAAATAAAATTAGGAAAAAAATGCCAGGTTAAGATTAAGATACCTAAATCCCCTCAAGCCTAAAACTCATTTCCTTATCAAACTTGGTTCTGCCTCCAACCCAGGACTATCAGCCACATACATACACAAACTATGTTTAAACATACCCTACTAAAACATGCTGTACTGAACAAGTTGCAATTGGAAGGATCACTAAACAGTGAAAAACCCAATAATAAAATAGAAACGTCATTATTTCTCCATCCTAGAACAACTAGAAGGATACTTAGAAGAAGCAGTGAGCCTCTTTTACTGACTTCTGCTAGCAATGAAGTATTAGTGTAAATGAATAAAGTAATTTTACAAAAACAGTCCAATTTTCAAAGGGGTGCGATGGCACAGGCCTATAATCCCAGCACTTGGGAGACTAAGGCAGAATACCACTACAAGTTCAAAGCCAGTCTGCACTCAAGCCAGCCTAAACAAAGACTGAAAGTCAAGCTCAAAGAACAAAGAGCATAGAGAAATAAACAAACAAAATCTAATTTTCTATAACTGCTAAAACGATTTTTCCTCCTTTTTTGTTTTTGTAAGACAGGGTTTCACTATGTAACTGGCTAGCCTGAAACTCTTGCTCCTTCTCTCCCCATCTCATACAAACTGAGATTATAGGCATGGATTTTCATGTTTGAATATATTTGTTTTTTAATCTTTCATGACGTGATAAGATTTTTAAAACTTACATTTAAAAAATCAAATTATTGTTCTATGCCAAATTTCTCAACTACTTTCATTTTATATACATGTGTGTATTATATGTATGTGTATGTGCTGAATGCATGTAGAAACTGCAGGTCAACATTAGGTATCATTCCCCAGAGCAATAGTTCTCAACTTTCCTAATGCTGTGACAGGTTAAGAAGCACTGACTTGGGCTCTAGAAATGGCTCAGTGGTTAAGAACACTAACTATAACTAGCAGGTCTTCCAGAGGTACTGAGTTCCATTGTCAGCAGCAACATGGTGGCTCACAACGATCCGTAATGAGATCTGGTGCCCCCCTCTTCTGGCCTGTAGGGATACATGCAGGCAGAACACTGTATACACAATAAATAAATCTTAAAAAAAAGAACCATTGATTTAGATGCTGGCCATGATTTAGAGCAATGGTTCTCAACTTGTAGGTCAAAATCCCTTTGGGGGCGTCAAATGAACCTTTCACAGGTATTGCCTAAGATCACTGGAAAACACAGATGTCTACATTATCATTCATAACAGCAGCAAAATTGCAGTTATGAAGTAGCAATAAAAATAATTTTATAGTTGAGGGTCACCACAATATGAGGAACTGTATTAAAGGGTCAAAGCATTAGAGAGGTTGAGAACCACTGCCTTAACAGAGGCAGTGAAACTCACCAAGCAGGCCAGGCTGGCTAACCAGCAAACCCCTTGTCATCCTGTATCAGCCTCCTTAGCAGTGATACTACAAGCATGCGCAGCCATGCCCAGCTCTGTTCTGTAGGTACTGAAAATCAAACTAAGATCCCTCATGCTGCCGGGCAGTGATGGCGCATGCCTTTAATCCCAGCACTTGGGAGGCAGAGGCAGGCAGATCTCTGTGAGTTCGAGGCCAGGCTGGACCGACAGCCTCCAAAACAATACAGAGAAACCCTGTCTCGTGAAAACCAAAAAAAAAAAAAAAAAAAAAGATCCTTCATGCATACTGTGCAACTAAACTATCTCCACAGCCCTAACCACTGGCTTTCTACACAAGAAATATGAAAAGAAGTTTGGGGGGCTGGAAGGTACATCTCAGTGGTAGACTGTTTTCTTAGTATGAGGCACTGAGCTCTACATCCAATAAACCCCCATTAAAATAAAAATAATAATAAAAAAGGTGTTGAAATATACCTGAAATATGTAACTATTGTAGAAGTGATTCAAGGTCTGTATCTTCAGCATACATATTAATAGTGACTGCTGCTTCTCAAATTCTATTAAAGCTGTTTAGAAATGGCCTTTAAGAGCATCACGTTTTTACTAAGCCATAAAATTTACAAAGCATATAGTAACTGTCATGTTCCATAAATTAAAGGTGTACAAATCCTTCACATATTCAAGTGAAAACATTCTTTACCTTTTACAAGTAAATAGAAATCCACAGATACCTTTTCCAAGGCAGTTTTAGTCTCAGGATGAGCAGATGTTCAAAATGACAATTCATCTATTAAGTACCTATATTAAGTACCTATCTCCTTAAGTACTGCTGCGAGTTATATCTACTACTCTTCTATCTACTTACATACTACTCTTATAAAAGTTCATGCACCATTTCAATTATAAACCTATGGTATTACCTTCTCCTTCTTTGATAATATAAATGCACCAACCACTGGGCAATAAAAGGCCATATAATAGCAAAAGTTAATGCACCAGGAGACATCTCAAAGGGCCACCAGGATGGTTTCTGGAAAAATAAAAAGCTTGTCATTTATCAAATAAATGCTGCATGAAGAAACTTGAAGATTTTTTTTTGTTTTGTTTTTCAAGGCAGGGTTTCTCTCTATAGCCCTGGTGTCCTGAAACTCACACTGTAGACCAGACTGACCTCTAACACACAGAGATCCGCCTGCCTCTGCCTACCGAGTGCTGGGATAAAAAGGCATGTGCCACCACTGCCTGGCTTGAAGACATTCTTAATATGTAATTCATAAAAATTAAAACTAGTAACAAATCTCTCTTCTGACAGATTATTCTATACTTAGTAAGCAGAAGCAGACTTCCAAGATTTAAATAAACACATCCAACTTTTTTATTGTAGGAAATAAGTTTATTGCAGAATAATGTAAAGCACTCTCAAGGAAAAGAGTGGGCAAAGACCAAAGGGGACACACTCCCAAATGCATTTTTAGCTTCAAAGCTCTAAAAGGTAGATTTCATATTAAATGACTTAAGTATTTCAAAAACTGTAAATGTACTATAATTACTTAGAACTCTTACCTGTGAGGAGGGTTGTTTACTTGACTGCAATGATAATTTTGCCTTGAAATACAAATGAAAAGTAACAACTATGACAGAATGAAAAAAAAAGGTGTAATTTTAGGGAGTTTTTATTTGCTCGTCTCTATTTTGAGAAAGGTGTCTACCCCAAGCTGGCCCTACAACCCCCAATGTACATGAACTTGCACTTCTGATCCTCCTTGCCTCCCCGTCCCTGATATTAGGGTTAGAGGTATGAGCCACCATGTCATCACACCCCACAACCCCATACACACACCTGGTATTTATGCAAATATCACCAACAGATTCCACATTGCTTTACAGAATCAAAAAACAGAAAATACCAGTGAGACAGTCTAATCGGCAGCTTACCTGCGAAGCAGTCAGTGTTTCCAGTTTATGCAGTCTCTGGAGGACGTTCTGCATGTCCTCTTGCAGTCTAATGAGCACAAGGGCAATCTGCTCATTGAGGCTGCCTCTGGAACCCCGGTCTGAACCCCAGCGTTCTCCATCACCTCCACTCCCCACTTGCCGACCCTGGGTTCCTTCACTCAAATGTGGCATTCTATGCCCTGATGAGAGAGTAAACTAAGTTAGCTATCAATATCAAGTAAAGGTTCCTTTTTCAAACAGAAATAGTATATTATTCATTTTCCTTGTTAATTCTTTGATATATAAACAAAGTAAAGTAAAAACAATCAGGAAGCATATAAAATAAACCATTAGGGTTAAAGGAATCAACATAAAAACCTCTACATTAGGGGAAGACAATATATAATTACTAGTATATGACAATGTTTATACAATTCATAAGGAAGATTCATGTTCAGAGTACATGTTTAAAAACTCTTTACTAGGGGGCTGGAGAGATGGCTCAAAGGTTAAGAGCACTGACTGCTCTTCCAGAGGTCCTGAGTTCAATTCCCAGCAACCGCATGGTGGCTCACAACCATCCGTAATGAGATCTGGTGCCCTCTCCTGGCTTGCAGACACACATAGAGGCAAGATGTTGTATTCATAATAAATAAATAAAAATCTTTAAAAAAAAAAAAAAAAAAAACCTCTTTACTGGGGCTGGAGAGACGGTTCAGCAGACAAGAAAACTTGTTGCTCTTGCATTTGGTTCCCAGCACCTGCATGGTAACTTCAGTTCCAGGGAATCTGACACTATCTTCTGAACAATACAGGCAAGAGGCATGCACATGACACACACACATGCAGGCAAAACATTCATACACATAAAATACATCTTTTTATAAAATGTAAACCCTCTTTACTGCAAAGATAATTAAAACTGCTTTAAAAATATAACTTGTTTGTAAGTATTAAAAGTTACATTAAATAACTAAAATTCCTTTCTTGGTTTAAAAATATTTTAAGATCATAAAAGGGTTTTCTAATTATAAATTACATATTCCTTATACATATTAAATATCTACTAAGATTTTTTTCTATATTGCCATTTATTTCTTTTTACTCCTTATACATATTAAATATCTAACTACAAAGATTTTTCTATATTGCCATTTCTTTTTATATACATGAATTTTAAATGTCTTAACTTCATAATTATGTACTATTTTTAAAATTATATTACAAACATTTACCTCCATCATTGACTCTTATTCCAAAAACTTACATGGTTATATAAATTCCTTAATATGAACCATGAAGTAACTAATCTAACCATTCTATATACATCTGACTTGAGTGATTATTAAATTTTTGTTAATACAAAAACCAAGTATGGTGGCAAATGTTTGTAATCCTAGCACTTGGAAGGTAAATCCAAGAGAGGCAGAAGTTGAGACTCAGCTTGAGCTACATAAAGAGTTCAAGGATAGCCTAGGATATATAAGACCCTGTCTCAGAAAAAGCAAAGAAGGTTTGGTTTGGATTCCAGTCAAGGCCAAGTCCGTCATGGTAGAAATAGGGCCGTGGAGCTGCTTGTCACTCTGGTTTCAAGTTAGGAGGCAGAATATGATGAGTACCAGTGCTCAGTTCAATTCCTCCTTTGTGATAATCTAGAACCCAGTTCAGCAAAGTCTTCCTACCCCAACTAACCCAATCTAAACATCTTTCCCAGGCATGCCCAGAGACCTGTCTCCTAGATAACTCTAAAACCTTCAAGTTAGCAAACAGTATTAGTCATCATACCTCCTTTAGGACAGACTCCAATTATTATTGGATCAAAAGCATCAAATTTGTCGAGGTTCTTAGTATTGCCAACTTATTTTTCAGAAGGCTAACAAGAGGGTTTTTTTGTTGTTGTTTCTTGTGTGTGTCCTTTATACGTGTTCTCTCTCTCTCCCTCCTTCCCTCGTGTGTGTGTGTGTGTGTGTGTGTGTGTGTGTGTGTGTTGGGGGCTTGAGCCTATGTCCTTACATGTATGAGACAAGCACTCTACTACTGAACGACATCCCCAGCACAACTAATGGTTTTTATTACTGTGTATTTTTGCATAAATGGAGTGGTACAATTCTTTCCTCATAACAGAAATCAAGGGTTTTTTTGCTTCTTGCCTTTCCCACATCCTCTTGTTCAGTTTGTAAAGCAGGAGATCAAGGGTTAAAGCACATCACGGTTAATTTGAGCTCTAGATGCAATTCTATTTATAATTCAAGGAAAGAGCCACGTCCATGTAAAGTCAATGAACTCAATACCAGGAAACTAATCCAATCCCTTACTGATTTTCCTCTCTACTTTTATGCATTCAGTGTACAAAAGTTTCTACTGAATGCACAGATTCTACCTACAATTTTTCAACATTACAATGGTGCAAAAGTATACCCATATAACAACTGTGTTTTTCACCTGAAGCACAGTATTTTTTAAAAAATTTATCTGTGTATATGGCAGAGTGAGAAATGTTTATGTCTGTGTACTATGAGCGAGCAGGTGTTCAAAGAGTCAGAGAGGGTGCTCAATTCCTGGAGTGGTCATTACAGGCATTTGTAAGCCCTCTGATATGGGTGCTGGAAATTGAACCTAGGTCCTTTGCAAGAGCAACAAATACTGTTAACCACCATCTCGTCCATCACTCCAGTCCCTGAAATGCAGTACATTGCTTTAATAGACTTTTTGCTTTAATAGGCCTTTTGCTTTAATAGGCTTTTTGTTAGATGATTTTTTTTTTAATCCAAGAGTAAGCCAATGCAAGTGTTCTGAGTATAGTGAAGGCAGTTAGGCTTCATGCATATTCAACTGACAATAGTCACAATTAACAAGGGATGTGTTGGGACATAACCCTATTGAAAATTGAGAATATCCACACTTTGTTCAAATGGTTATTTCTCAATCTGTTCCCCTTCCCACTGACATTCAATGGTGGGAACTGAACACAGGCTATGACTGAGCTACACGTCTTTTTTTTTTTCCTTTTGAACAGGTGTTTATTTATGACTCATCTAACATCAGATACTTAGCTCACATCATTGGCGTTTGTTTGTCCATTTATTTGTTTTTTTTTTCTTTTTTTAATTTTATTTTATGCTTTTACTATTTATTTTTAAGTTTAAATTTAGATTAGAAACAAGGTTGCTTCACAAGTCAGCTCCAGGTCCCTCTCCCTATTCCTCCCCTCCTCCCGTGCTCTCCCCCAACCCCCCCATTATCCCCTCATTTCCCCAGGGAGGGTGAGGCCCTCCACTGGGGTGTCCATAGACCCTCCCCCCTAAGAGTTCAGGGTGAGAGTGCATCTCACATTGTTAGATGGGAGTCCAAAGTCCATGTGTATACTCAGGATGAATACTGATCTACTGCCCAAGGCTCAATAGATTACCTAGGCCTCCTCACTGACACCCCCATTAGCGGGTCTTGATCAGTCCCATGCTGGATTCCCAGGCATCAGCCTGGGATTCAAGAGTTAACCCTTGTCAGGTCAGCTGTTTCTGGGGTTAAACCAGCCCAGTCTTAATCCCTTTGGTCATCAGTCCTCCCTCTCTGTTACTGGCTTTCTTGAGTTCAGCTCAGTACTTAGCCATGGGAGTCTGCCTCTTCTTCCATAAGCCACCGAATGAAGTTTCTGTTTCAGGCTGGCACTCCCCAGATCTATGTCTAAAATCCATATATGAGAGAGTACATGCCATGTTTCTCTTTTTGTGACTGGGTTACCTCACTCAGGATGGTTTTTTCTAGTGTCATCCATTTGCCTGCAAATCTCAGGATTCCATTGTTTTTTTCTGCTGAATAGTACTCCGTTGTGTAAATGTACCACTTTTTCTCTATCCACTCTTCGGCTAAGGGGCATCTAGGTCCTTCCAAGTTCTGGCTATTACAAATAATGCTGCTATGAACATAGTGGAACAGACATCCTTGTTGTATGAATGGGCATCTTTTGGATATATGCCTAAGAGTGGAGTTGCTGGGTCTTCTGGAAGGTTTATCCCCATTTTTCTGAGGAATCTCCATACTGATTTCCAAAGTGGCTGAACAAGTTGGCATTCCCACCAGCAATGGAGGAGTGCTCCCCCTTTTACCACATCCTCTCCAGCATAAATTGTCGCTGGTGTTTTTGATTTTAGCCATTCTGACAGGAGTGAGATGGTATCTCAGACTTGTTTTGATTTGCATTTCCCGGATGGCTAAGGATGTTGATCGCTTTCTCAAGTGCCTCTCAGCCAATTTAGACTCCTCTTTTGAAAATTCTCTATTTAGTTCTGCAGCCCACTTTTTAACTGGATCCTTTGGTGTTTTGGAGACTTGCTTCTTGAGTTCTTTGTAAACTTTGGAGATCAACCCTCTGTCAGATGTGGGGTTAGTGAATATTTTTTCCCATTCTGTGGGCTGCGAGCTACACCTCTTGTTCTATGCTACAATTTTCTTTTCTTTTTGGACAGGGAACTCATTTGTAAACCAAGCTGGCCTCAAACTCAAGAGATCCATCTGCCTCTGCCTCCAGAGTGCTGGGATTAAAGGCCTGCGCCATCACCAACAGCTCTCTACACTATAATTTTATGTATTCATTCTCATTGTTTTCACAGTATCTTTATTTCTCACCAAAAATAATTATAACAAATATATTTACTTTTTTCTACACCCAATATCTAGTCTACTCCCTAATCATATCACTATTCCTTTTTTATTATTGTTACATTTCTTATTTATTTTGTGTCAGGGCGGAGGGCATGTTCATGCCAAAGCAGAAACTGCAGGTCAGAGGACAACTTGTAGAAATCAGTGATGTCTCCTTCCACTCAGAGACCACACCCAAATTGTCAGCTTTGGCAGCAAGCTCATTTACCTGCTGACCATCCTGCCAGCCCACAACACTACTGTCAATTTGTTTAGTGTTCAGTGTTCCTTAGCTCTTATTGCTTTGTCAGCTTTAAATGACCTCCTTTAACCCAAATAAGGCAAAGATAACTAATTCTGACTGACTTACACAGGGACTCAAAAATGTCAGCCCAATTAGGGCAGTCACCGATGGTTCAGAGAGAAAAACAAAGCATAAATGTGACTCCTTAGACATACTGCATAATGGGCTGCCACGGTGGCTCTGCAGGTGAAGACATGTGTTGCCAAGCCTCATGTCCTGGGTGTCCTCTAATTTTCACATGCATGCCATTAAATGTACAGTAAACACTCACTCACACTCACACACACACACGCACGCATACACATGCACAAATGTTACTTTAGAAAACACTGCACAAATGATTAAAAAAATAAAGCTGGGCACTGCCACACCAATGCCTGGCAGCCAGAGGTAGAAGCATCACTACAAGTTGTAAACTAGAGAGAGCTAGATAATGAGACTGCATCAGAGATGAAAATGAATCAGCGAATGAGGAATACACACCTCTCCCTCTTCTGACATTAGAGAAGTCCTCACTTTCTCCTCCTCTCTTCTCACGGTGTGGTACTCCACTGCCACTTCTGCCATCTTCCCCTCCATGCTTTACTTCACCACCTTTTCCTTCCACTGCTACCATCTTCCCAATGCTGCCATCGCCAGGAGCTACTTGACCATCTTCACAAAAAACAGAACTCGCCAAGTGCTGACTGGGATCACCACCTAAGTAATACTGAAAGTGTCCATTGTTTGACATAAAGTGGTCTACTACAGACTACAAACTTAAAATGACAGTTAAAAGTTATAAATATAAATGATACACCCAAAGTTTTCATGGTAATATAAATTCCATTTTTCTAAAAGGGTCCTTTCATGTTCCTGCTGAAAATACTTTTCTTTAAAATATTCTTCAACTTGTACTCAGCTCCCCATATAGAATAAATAAATGAGATATGCATGATTTTCTTTTTTCTTTCTTTTTTTTGGTTTTTACGAGACAGGGTTTCTCTGTATTGTTTTGGAGGCTATCGGTCTAGCCCGGCCTCGAACTCACAGAGATCTGCCTGCCTCTGCCTCCCAAGTGCTGGGACTAAAGGCGTGCGCCACTACCGCCCGGCTGCATGATTTTCTCTATGAGTAAAAAGGAAGGTTTCCCAAGAGTCAATCAATCACTCAAGATATAAAGATATGCTTACCTTAGTTACTATACTTAACTCTAGGCAACTCTAAGCAAAGAGGATCCTTGCTCACAGTCTGAGTAAGGGAGTCACAAGAGATTATTGCTGCAGTGGCTGATAAGATTTGTGAAAAACAATATGTGGCCGATACTACAGAAGTCAACCAATAAATACCTAACCCTTACTGGAATCAGGTCAAGGCTTGGTCAAGAAAGAGTTCCAAAAAAGTGAAGGAACTTCAACTAAGAACAAATGAGGATGGGCCAGGCATGGTGGCACACGCCTTTAATCCCAGCACTCAGAAGCAGAGGCAGGCAGATCTCTATGAGTTAAAGGACAGCCTGTTGTATATAGTGAGCTCCAGACCAGCCAAGCTACACAGTCAGCCCAATACAAAACAAAATCAAAAAAGAACAAATGAATATGAGACAAATCAAAGGTTTCATAATGACAATGACCCATCAGTGCAGTTGGGATGAAAGCTGTTTGAGGACTTACAACAGAATAGTAGTGGTCTTGGAAAAACTGAACACAGAGAGTAAGAGAAAGAAAAGCATGGCCAGTGTTGGTGGCGCACGCATTTAATCCCAGCACTCGGAGGCAGAGGCAGGCAGATCTCTGTGAGTTCAAGGCCAGCATGGTCTATAGAGTGAGTTCCGGGACAGCCTCCAAAACAATACAGAGAAACCTGTCTCGAAAAACCAAAACAAGAAAGAGAGAGAGAGACAGAGAGAGAGAGAGAGAGAGAGAGAGAGAGAGAGAGAGAGAGAGAGAGAGAGAGAGAGAGAGAGAGAGAGAGAGAGAGAGAGAGAAAAGCTCTGAGGACTAGACAGTTTGGTGACATACTAAGATAAACACAGGAGATAAGACTAGGAGAACAAAAAAGAAGTTAATGTTTCAAATATAGGTATGTAAAATTGAAGCCATAGGTGTCTTAGGGTTTCTGTAGTGTGCTAAACACAATGACAAATGGCAACTAGGGAAGAAAAGGGTTTATTTCACCATCCAGCACATAAGTCATCACTGGGGGAAGTCAGGGCAGGAATCTAGAGGCAGGAACCCATGAAGGAGTGTTGCTTACTGGCTTGTTCTTCACAGCTTGCTAAGTCTGCTTTCTTATACCCGCCAGGACCATGGGCCAAGTGATGGCTCTTTCCACATTAATCTGGTTCCTAGTACATCAATTATAATGATAAAAACATCCCATAGACTACTTTTGGTGGGAACATTTTCTCAACTGAGGGTCCCCTTTCCCATATAACTCTAGCTTGTGTCAAGTTAACATAAAGCTAGCCATCATACTAGGCAAAGAGTAAGGCAGTTAAAATTCAGAAGAGAGAAAACACTGAATTTATTACTTTAATAGTTATCAGCCTTAAGTAATGCCTAAAACCAAAGAAGCAGTAACCAAGGCCATACTCCTAAAGAATATCAAATTCCTGGATCAACAAGAAAAGGTAACTGAAATGAACTGTCCAAGTAATGCACTCTTGGGAAGTACAGGCAGTGGATCTTTATCGATGACAGCCTTGTGTACATAGGGAGTTACAAACCAGCCAGGGCTATATAATACAACTTTGCCTTGAAAGGGAAAAAAGGTACTAATCATCAACTTCCTTGCTGTTGCTTTGGTTGTTTTTTTTTTTCTAGGTAACAGGGTCTTACCATGTAGCCTGGGCAGGCCTGGAACTTTCTATGTAAACCAAGTTAGCCTCAAACTCAAGGATGTAACTGCCTCTACTCCCAACCAATTAATGGTATAGGCCAGTACACCCAAACACAGAGTTAGGTTTAATTTGTTTTTCCAATACTGAATTGTGACTGAAATCTGAAGATTAGTTTGTCTAAAAGTAATTTTTTTATTTTAAAGGCTTTATTTTTATTTTTAATTATGTAAATATGTATGCATCTTGTATGTAAGTTTGTGTGAGGGTTTTTACAAATGAAAGCAATGCCCTTGTGGACCAGAAGAGGGCATCAGATCCCCAGGAGTAGGATTCACCTGCAGTTGTGATCAGTTTTGATGTGATCAAACTTGGGTCCTCTGCAAGAGCACTCTTAAGAGTATACACCCTTAACTGCTGAGCCAGCTGTCCAGGAATACACTCAATATGAAGAACTAATTTATGCTTGAAGATTATTCAATTTTCTTCATTAATCAATGTTTTAGCAAAGACAGTAGCATAAACAGTTTACCTCTGCACCTCTATTCTACCTGTCACAGATTATTTATAAAATAAATTATAATGGAATGTTATATTACAATAGTATTCTACCACTTATATTAGTATTCTAATATAGTATTTTTATGAAATGACTTGTATTCCAATTCTACTATTGTAGTATTCTAATAAAATTAATTATGTGGTGTATTTTTCTCTTTTGGTATGTGTGTGTATGAAAGCATGTATGTTGGATATACCCATATATCAGAGTAGGCATGTGCTCCCATGCATGCACATGCAGAGGCCAGAGGGTAACCAGTAGCCTTCTCTGTCACTGTCACTCTTCACCTTATTTCCTTAACACAGGATCTCTCACTGAACCTAGAGCTGACAGGCAGAAAACCCAGGTGATCCTCCTCTCTTCTGTTCCCCACAGTACTGAGATGTAGGTACACAGGACCACTGGATTTGTTTCTTTTTTTTTTTTACTTTGAGACAGGTTCTTAGAGTATAGCCCTGGCTGAACTGAACTCACAGAAATCTGTCTGCCTCTGCTTCTTGGGTGCTGGGATTAAAGGTGCACACCACCAAGCTGGTCTCCACACATGGCTTCTGATATGGACACTGAGTATTCAAACTCAGATCCTTCCTTTATATTTGTGCAGCAAGTGGTCTTACTAAATCATCCCCCAGTCTTTTACACTTTAATTTACACACACATATAATAAAACTATAAATGTTTTTAATTGTGTGTGGGGGGTGCTCCAATGTGTTCATGTCTGTTATTTTAGCAGTGAGTGGCACAGCATACATGTGGTATTTAAACAACAACCACCTCTGATGTATGTCCTTGCTTTCTACCTGAAACAAGGTCTTCTATCATTTATCATTACATACAACAGCCTAGTTGGCCTGTGAACTTCCAGGAATTCTCCTGTCACCAGCTCCTATCTTACTATAGGAGCACTAAGATTATAAATGTACTCCAGCCTTACACAGGTTCTGGGGATCTGAAGTCTACAGGCTTGCATAGAAAGCACTTTGCCCTACAGCAAATATGTTTTCAAAGCAATGAATAAGTTTATTAGCTAGTCACAGAAGTTATGCACTGGATTTTTTTTTTTTTTGCTTTTTGTTAGTTTTCATTAGCATATAAGGTAATAGGTTTCATTATGGCATTTTTGTGCATGAATGACATATTGTACCCTGCTTACTTGATATACCACTTTGAAATTTAGTAATTGTAAAATTTTGTCTTTACCTCTTCTTGTCCAAATTGCTCCATAGAATCACAGTATACTTCACTATCTGAATCACTTGTCAAATGATGAATTCCTGAAGCATCTTCACTGTGATCATCATTTGTATCTAAATATGAACAAATATCCAGACAGTATAATTATACTCTAAGACAATAAAAACATATTTCATTTTATTTTTCACAACTCATAAGTACTATATTACACTCATTCTGGCAAGGAAATCTCTCTTACCAAGTGACAGTACTTAGTATAGCCTCAAATCCACAATGCTTCTGCCTCAGCTTCTGAAGTGCTGAGATTACAGGTATTCCACCATTGGCTCCAGGTCAATAAATATAATTATATTATATAAACATATAATATATAATTATAGAGTATATATTATATGCATATAACATATTTTTAACTGAAAAGATTACAGCTAGATTTAGGAGGTAAAGGCAGGAGAACCACCACTAGATCTAGGCCACCAGGTCTACAGTTGGGCACTGATAAAACACTCCATGGCTGGGAAAGTAGGGGAGTTTACTGCCTAGCCTGACTACTTGAGTTCAATGCCCAAAGCTCAAATGATGGAAAGAGAGCGCCAACTCTACTGAGTTGTCCTCTGACCTCCATAGACCCCCACCATGGTACCCACACAACTACACATTATGAAAACATAGAAAACAGAAAGCATTCTGGCTCTAATTCACTGTTTCAAAGTAACAAAGCCTTACAGTAGTATTAACAACCCTAAGAAGACATTACTAAATAAGAGATTTTAAGTCCTAAATTATTCCTAAACATCCTATAATTGTTTAAAGAATATTTTAGTTGTAGGAAAAAGGTTAGATAAAGAAGTACTTAAGAACAATACCTTGGTGAACACAGACAACATTGTTTCCAGTCTGCTCCAAGCTGTGATCTACAGGTTTTGCTTCTTCATTGCTTCTGCCACTCGGGGAGAAATTGGTATGAACATCATTGTGTGTATCCTGAACAAAGCTATCCTTAAAGCCATTGGCAACGATGATTTCCAAATTCCTATCTGTTGCCTTATTCGTCATTTTCTTATCTTGTAAGGGGGGGAAAAAAGAAGATGAGATGCATAAAAATACCTAGTAACCAGGCATAGTGACACAGTCTTTAATCCTAGCACTCCAGAGTCAGAGGCAGATAGATCTCTGTTGTCTGTGTCTACATAGAAAGCACACACACACACAAAAAAAAAAAAAAAAAGCCAGCACTCGGGAGACAGAGGCAGGTGGATCTCTGTGAGTTCGAGACCAGCCTGGTCTACCAAGCGAGTTCCAAGACAGGTTCCAAAAACAATACAGAGAAACCCTGTCTCAAAAAAACAAGGTTCCAAAAACAATACAGAGAAACCCTGTCTCAAAAAAACAAAACAAAACAAAACAGAAAGTACGAGGACAGGGTTACACAGAAAGACCCTTAGTTTAAAAAAAAAAAAAGTTCTAGACTCTCTAGTCAAATCACCACAATTCTTTTGAACCTATCTGGGGGCTTCCTATCTGGATAGGAGCAATGGTTGAATCTTCTAAAAGGGAGCTATTATTATATGCCAAAGCTCACCCAAAACTCATAGTAACTTTTCAAAATGCTCTCATTCCTCATGACTCTTATAAGATCCTTTAAAACTCATCACCATCATCATTTTGGACTGCAGAGATGGCCCAGCAGTTTAGAGCACTTCCTGTTCTTCAAAGGACCCAAGTTTTGTCCCCAGCACCCATCAGACTCACAACTGCCTAGAGCTTCAGCTCCAGAGAATCCAATACCCTGTTCTGGCACTGCAGGCATCAATATGCTCACACAGAAACAAAACAAATCTAAACAGGAAAACAGGATTTACAATAGCATCTTGCTCTTGTTTGTTTGTTTATTTCTGTTGTTTTGACAAGACAGGGTCTCACTATATAACCATACTCACACACTGGCCTGCCTCTGCCTCACAAATATTGAAATTAAAGGTGTCCACACAACAACAAACCCTGGGTTTTGTTTTTATGAAAAAGGACCTCACTATGTAGCTTTAAATGGCCTACAATTCACTTTGTAATTCAGGCTGGCATTGACTCATAGCAATCCTGCTGCCTCAGCCTCCTGCCTATATGGTTTCTCACCAAACCTGTCTCTAAACATAATCTCTTAAACTAGAGTTATGTATCTGAACAAGTTAATGCACTTGCTGTAAAGTCTGATGACCTGAGTTCAATCTCCAGGTTCCACAGGATGGAAGGAGAAACCTGCCCCCCAAAAGTTTTGATGTCTGGGCTGGAGAAATAGCTCAGAGGTTATGAGCACTGACTGTTCTTCCAGAGGTCCTGAGTTCAATTCCCAGCAACCACATGGTGGCTCACGACCATCTGTAATGAGATCTGGTGCCCTCTTCTGGCACCCAAGTGTACATGTGGGAGGAATACTGTATACATAATAAGTAGATCTTTAAAAAAAAAAGTTTTGATGTCCACTGATGTCCATATGTGCACTGGGGCACACCAACACACAACATCCACGCACAGACACAATAAATAAATACACAAATAACTAATGAACATGCTAAAATGTGTGTGAGTGCGCATATGCACATGGGCACATACGATGGCATATATGGTGGCACATGCCTTTCATCCTAACACTTAGAGGCAGAGGCAGGCCAGTCTCTATGAATTTGAGGCCTGATCTATATACCAAGTTTCTGGACAACTAGGACTACACCGAGATAACCTGTCTCTAAAAACAAAAAGTAAAAAATTTAAATCTATTTTTTATTTTATATTTATGTGTATGGGTGTTTTGCCTGCATTTATGTCTGTATGCTATATGCATGCTCAATGAGTACCCTAGTAGGCCAGGAGAGGACATGAGATCCCCTGAAAATGGAGTTTAGGTGGCTGTGAGTTGCCATGTAAGTGCTGGGAATTAAACCCAGGTCCTCTGGAAAAGCAGCCAGTGCTGCTAACTGCTGAGCCACCTCTCCATCCCCTAGAATAATGTCCTGATATTTTTATATTACCTCAGACAGACAAAATGTTAAAGAAACCTAGAAATGAAGAGAATTACTAGACTAGTAAACTGGCAGTGGCTCTTTCTTTCCAGAATTGGAATTGCTTGTCCTTCTAATAACAGGGCACCAGAATGTGGTACCCCATGATTCCAATACTCCTTCATCAAAATGAGGCGATCCTAACACTCATGAGAAAGAATCAAGATTGTTAAAATTAAGGTCACCCCTGAGCTACATAGAAAAACTCAGTCTCAAAATACAAAGAGCTGAGTACATAGCTCAGTGGTAGTGTTTGCCCAGCATGTTCCAGGTCTTGGATTCAATCTCAGGAAGTAAAGTTTATGCCTTCTTTCTATTCTCTATATTAATTTTACTTTGTATGCATATATCCACACTGGAAATAGCACCTTAAAGTAATACAAACATGGGGCTAGGGAAGTAGATGAGGTGGTAGAATATTTGTATAACATTAATGAAGCCCTGGTCTTAAATACCAACAATGCACAAACTGAGCATAGTAGCAGTCACCTCTAATCCAGCAGGAGGATCACAAGTTCAGGTCAGACTCAGCTACAGAGCATATTCAAGGTCAGCCAGGAACAACTGAAGCATTATTTCCCAAAAATTAAAATTAGGAAAGTATATTAAAAAGGGCTGGAGAGACGGCTCATCAATTAAGAGCACTGGCTGATCTTCCAGAGGACCTAGGTTCTATTCCCTACACCCATATGGCAGCTCACAACCACCTGTAATTCTAGTTCCAAAGGATCTGATTCCCTTTTCTGACTTCTGAGAGCACTGCACGTACCATAGTACACAGACATACATGCAGACAAAATGCCCATACGCAAAATAAAAGTAATACCCCCTTTTTAAATTATGTAATACATTACTTTATGCACTTATTTGGGAGAATAGCCTATTCTTGTCCAACCTCAATTAACACCCATTTTATTATTAAGTAAGGCTGGCTGCCTGTATATTCCATAGTAGAGCATTTTGATCCACTGAAAACCTTGATACACAGTCAATACCTCAAATGCCACCACATGCATCAATATACAAAAAAATAAAAATATAAATAAATAAGTAAAATCAGTGCAAATCTTCTCATGTCCTTTTATCTTATCTGGTACAAAATTATTAACTGTATTAGTTACCCAAGACTTACCATTACTGTCACTCTGTTCTGCTCCTTTTAATTCTTCTTGGGCCTCTTCTTCCTCAGACTCAGCTCCACTATCACTGCTCTCAGTCTTACCATTAACAGCTTTGGCATTTGAAGAGATCAGGACACTGCCAAGATCTAAAAGATGAAATGAAAAAACCTAAATCAGTAATATGCTAATTTACCTTATGTTGAAATTTACAAAACAAAACTAGTAAATCGTTTTTTAATTGCAATAAATGGAGGTTAGAGAGATGAGTCAGAGTTTAAGAGCACTGGCAGCTCTTCCAAGGGTTCAGTTTTAGCACCTACATGGTGGCTTATAACTGTCCATAACTCCAGTTCCACTTACACGTAAGCAAAACACTCTTACACATAAAATATTAAAAATATAAATGTTATTCTTTTACTCATTTATAACTACACAAATTGCTTCAATTGCCAGTTTACAACAAAAATTATAATGCTGTCTTAACAATCCTTTCTGAAGCCAAGGGAGAACTAATTTTAAAGTTAACATCAATCAAAAAAATAAACTTGAGCATAAATGGCCTCCATACTTAGTAACTGAAAAACGATTTGCACCAGGAAGTGGTGGTGCACACCTTTAATCCCAGCACCTGGGAGGCAGAGACAAGTGGATCTCTGTGAGTTCAAGGCCAGTCTGGTCTACAGAGCAAGTTCCAGGACAGCAGGACAGGCTCCAAAGCTAGAGAGAAATTCTGTCTCAAAAAACCAAAAAAAGAAAAAGAAAAAAGAAAAAAAATTATTTGCAAATTGCCAAAAACATCAATATGATATTTTAGCCTTACCACCAGTGTCGCTGGTCTCCCTGATAATATAGATGGACTACATTTAAATTGTTGAGATAAAGCCTCACACTATAGCACCGGCTGGCTTAGAACTCACTATGTAGAGCAGACTAAACTCAAACCTGCACAAAGCTTCCTGCCTCTGCTTTCAAAGTGCTGGGATGACAGGCATGCACCACCAAGCCCGCCTAATTTCTTCCTATTAGATATAGAATGCTACATGAATCTGTATTATCGCCCTGGCACAGAAGTCATGATAATCACTCCATTATTCAATTTCAGCATTTGTGCTGCTGAACAGGTGCTATTTACATTTTCAAATTTTTTCATATTATCTTTTAAGGCCTGGGGTATACAACCTAATTTTTATGTATTTATAATGTAGATGATAGATGATAGATAGATAGATAGATAGATAGATAGATAGATAGATAGATAGATAGATAGGTAGGTAGGTAGGTAGATAGTTTCAAGACAGGATTTCTCTGTGCAGTCCTGGCTGTCCTATCACTAAGTCTGTAGACTAGGCTGACCTCAAACTCAAGAGATTCACCTGCCTCTGCCTCCTGAGTGCAGGGATTAATGGTGTGTGCCAACACTGTCAGTGATATAAACTTTTTTAAAACATCAATTTTATCGCCTAAAGAAGCAAATTGAATTGATCAAAGTTTACCCTAAGAGAAGACACAAACCACAATGTGCTTATCAATCAACTGAGATCTAATTAAGGGTCCATATCCTTAAGGGTCCCATGTATTACCATTGCTGTTGAGTTCTGGTCCACATCTTGAGAAACAACAGTGAACACCATCTGCATAGTCTTTTTAGCATACTAATGAACACTTAAGAATACAGAAAAGGCTGGTGTAGTACTTATAATCCCAGCACGCAGGAGGCTAAGGCAAGAGGAATCCTGAGCTCAGGTCTATATACTGAACCTTGTCAAAACTCAAATAAAATGCCGGGCGGTGGTGGTGCACGCCTTTAATCCCAGCACTCGGGAGGCAGAGGCAGGCGGATATCTGTGAGTTCGAGGCCGGGCTGGACTGATAGCCTCCAAAACAATACAGAGAAACCCTGTCTAGTAAAAACAAAACAAAAAAAAAAAAAAACAAATAAAACAAAACAAAGAAAAAAACAGGAAAAAAGTGATCTTCTACCATAAACTTTTTGGCTTTCTCTTACAAAAATCTACTTTGGCATCAGCAATATGTCTCAGTGGGCAGAGATGACTGACACAAACCTGACCTGAGTTCAATTCCTGCAAACTACCCTGGGGTGAGTATACAATCATGCATCAGTGTGTACACATGCATGCATGGTGAGCGTGCATGCGTGCGTGTGTGTACATGCGCAGACACAGAATCTAACTTTAAAAGTCAGTAAAAAGATCCAGGCAGTGGTGGCAGGAAGCAGAGGCAGGAGGATCTCTGTAAGTTCGAGGCCAGCCTGGTCTACAAAGTGAGTTCCAGGACAGCCAGGGCTGGTACACAGAGAAACCCTTTCTCAAAGAAGAAAAAAAATTAAAAAGAAAAAAATATCCAATTACATTAAATTCCAAAATATCCATACACCTTTAACAGTGAGGCCTACATTCTGAAAATTTAAGTCCCCCTAACTAACCAAAGACTAAAACTTCAAGTCTATTTTCTTTTAGAGAATCATGATATCTCCATAGTTCTAAAAATCAGACTGAGTCTTACACATAACAGACAAGTATTCTACTAATAATGGTCACTCCCAGTCCTAAGGTATTGTATTACATACCAAAGACTTTTTGTCTAGAACCTTGTGTATGCTCAGCATGAGAGAAGAATTTTTTGGTTTTGATTTTTTTTTTTTTTTTTTTTTTTTGGTTTTTCGAGACAGGGTTTCTCTGTGGCTTTGGAGGCTGTCCTGGAACTAGCTCTTGTAGACCAGGCTGGCCTCGAACTCACAGAGATCTGCCTGCCTCTGCCTCTCGAGTGCTGGGATTAAAGGCGTGCACCACCAACGCCCGGCCTTGTTTTTGATTTTTAAAACAAAGAAAAAATAAAAACAAGTACACACATACACACATAAAAAGAAACTCACACCCATGAATATCTTCATCAAATGTAACAAGAACCTGCAAACCTCCATCAAACAGACATTTGCAACAAAACCACCTGACAGCAGAAAACATAACAACAATACAGTTATGGGATAATGAACACTATTCAACATCCAAACATCTACATAAAATTCCATATTAACATACTAAATGGCAAAAGCTACATGATTATTATATAATGAAATGAAAAAACAAAATCACAATTTTCTTGTTATAAAAATGGTAAAGAAACAAAGAATAAAATAGAACTTCTTAATAAAGAACAAAAGACTCATAAGAGGCTGAGAGATCAGCATGGCAGTTGATAGCACTGGCTGCTTAGGATCTAGATGCCATGCCCAGAACCCACATACACAGTTGCTCACAATCATCCACACTGCAGTTCCCAGGAATCTGATGTCCTCTTCTGGCCTCCCCAGGCACTAGGCACACAAGTGGTACACAGGCATACATGCAGACAAAACAGCCATACACATAAAATACAAATAAATCTTTTTACAAAATTATCTAGGAGCTAGAGATGGGGCAGTGGTTAAGAACACTGTCTGCTCTTCAAGAGGATCTGGGCTCAATTCCCAGTACCAACAAAGTAGCTCACAACCATGTGTAACTCCAGTTCCAGGAGATGATGCCCTCTTCTGACCTCCAAGGGCACCAGGCATACAAGTGGTGCACAAACACACCTGCAGACAAAACAACCATACACATAAAATAATACAATGATTCTTTAAAATTATCTGTTATATATGGCATGCTCAAATGTACAGAAAATTTCTGAATAGCAAAAACAACAACAACAACAAATGCCTGGGCTACACACAGTTCTAGACCAACCTGACCTACAATGAGGTCCCATCTCACAAAACCTAAAAATTGCAATCCCTAACCAAGTAGTGATGGTATATGCCTTTAGTCCCAGTATTCAGGATAGAGAGGGAGGCAGATTCCTGTGTGTGAGCTGAGGTCACACCCAGGTCCAGAGGAAGTTCCAGGACAGCCAGGGCTACACCGAGAAACCCTGTCTGAGAAAAAAAAAATCCAGTACTTAGGAGGTGAAAGAAAAGAAGATAACTGTTCCAGGTCAGTAAGTTTTGGGTCAACCAGGACTATATAAAACAAGACCCTTTGAAAGAAAGAGAGAAAGAGCAAGAACAGATAGAGAGAGAGAAGGAAAGAAAGAAGGAAACAAGCAAGCAGCCAGGCATGGTTGCACACTTCTGTAATCCAACAACTTGAGAGGTGGAAATAGAGTAATCGAGGGTTCAAGGCCATCCTCACCTACATAATGAGTTCAAAGCCAGTGCTGTCAACATGAAACTATTTCTAAATAAACAAATATTTTAAAAATAAGCTAGAAAAACATTTGCTTCATGGTATTACTACCATATTTCATAAAGCAAAATCATTTATCAGAACAAAACTGGCCAGTGAGATGGCTCAGTGAGTAAAGGCACTTGCTATCAAGTCTGAGGACCCGAGTTTTCAGCCCCAAGACTCACATGGTAGAGAGAACTGAGTCCCACAATTTTCTCTCTGACCTTTACTCTCAACGCTATGGCATGAGTGCACTAAATAAATATTTTTTAAGTTAATTAAGAACAAACAAGCTGTGTGGTGTTGTCACACACGTTTAATCACAGCACTCAGGAGGCAGAGGCAGGTGGATCTCGAGTTTGTGGCCAACCTGGTCTACAGAGCAAGTTCCAGAGCAGCCAGGTACCCAAAGAGACCATGTCTTGAAAAAAATTAAAAAACAAAGAAAATGAACAAACACAAAAAACTATTAATTCTTCTGTATTTCTGTAATATAAGGTAAACCACTCGGCATATTTTAATACATTAAAACTTAGAATTTAATAATATTTTAGAATCTCATATAATGGGTTTGCTTTAAATAACAATTCATAGATAAATTTATGGGGGTTTTTTGGGGGGGTTGTTTTTTTTTCCGAGACAGAGTTTCTCTGTATTGCTTTGGAGCCTGTCCAAATTTATGTTTTATGTATTTGTGCAGAATTACTTTTTCCTTAAACTTTTTTATTATTTATTTTTCTATTAGTATTTTTTTAATTATTTCATTTTATTTTCTATATGGGCATTTTGCCTACACGTAAGCCTGGGCACTACTTGAATTCCTGGTACCCACAGAGGCCAGAAGAGAGCATGATATCCTCTAGAACTGGAGTTGAAGATGGCTGTGAGCCACCATGTTAAGGCTAGGAACTGAACCCAGCACCTCTGGAAGAGCAGCCAGTGCTCTTAACCACCGAGCCATTTTTCCAGTCCCATTACTTATTTTTACTTCTGTGTTTGAAGGTATGTGAGTATGAGTGTATTCCATGTGTGTAGGAGACCACAGAGCCAAGAAACCATCTGATGAGAGCTTAGAGATGGAGTAATAGGCAGTTGTTAGCTCCCTGACATGGGTTCTAGGAGTCAGACCAGCTCTGTAAGAGCAAGAAGCAGCCAGTGCTCTTAACCACTAAGCCATCACTCCAACCCCATTGCCCTATCAATTTTAAACATGGATTTCATTATTCCTACCTTCTAAGTATTTGGAGATTTTCTCCAATCGGACTGGCATGTAAAAGTAAAGGAGAAAATTAGACAGATAGGTATTAGTGTATGCATAATATATCAGTTGCTGAGTTAAGAAAAAAAAGTAAAACAATGCTGAACAGGATTACACATGCCTGTAACCCCAAAACAAGGGTGAGTGAGACAGGAAGACGGTGAGTTTCTAGAGGCCGGTCTGGCCTGACCTTGTACAAGACTCTGTGTCTTGAAAAGAGACATAAGACTGTCCAACCTGAGGTCAAGTCAGTACTCTTGCCACTCTTTTTGTCTTCTACAATTTCATAAAATGGACCTATAACATGCAGCAATTCTTCAACTTTCTCAGTCATGGGCATAGTTTCAAGAATCTGTAATTAAGAGAAAGAAATACTGTAAAATCACAAACTATTAACTTGGTCTGTAGCTGTACAAAATCGACTATTTTTAGTTTGCCAATAATTTTCAGATTTGAAGTTTATTAGCAAACTCCTCAAAGGGACTACATTAATTATATAATGCACATAAATTAGTTTATTTGAAATATACTAGATATATATACCAAAGATCTAAGTTTATTCTTGGAGCTGGAGAGTTGGCTCAACTGGTAGTTAAAGAGAACCCAGATTAGGTTCCCAGCACCCACATGGTGGCTTCACAATCATCTGTAACTCCACATATGACCTCTGAGGGCTCCTATATGCATGTGGTCCACATATACTCAGGCACATACACATGAATTAAAATAACTTTTTTATTTTAAAATATTTTCATTTGAGACTATTTTATGAGGGCTTCACATGAAAAGATTATCTATGTGGGAAGTTGTACATTAAAATCTGAAGTTTATTTAAAAAAACAGAAAACAGTAGAGCTAGAATTAAATTATATCTGTTTGACATTAAGGAAGTTTCTAAGAGAACATAAAGCAAGAATTGATAAACTCTTAGATACCTTCAGGACTATGAGACAATTTAAAATCATCCATTTGTTTCTTTTGGGGCTTCGGGTTTTTGTTTTCATTTTTTGTTTGGGGGGTACAGGATCTCACTTGTGTACCCCTGGCAGTCCTGGCTGGTCTTGAACTCATAGAGATCCTCCATCCACAGTCTCCAAAGAGCTGGGATTAAAGGTGTGCCTTGACCATGCCCTGATGAGACAGGGTCTTAGCACTGCAGCCCAGGCTGGCCTCAACTCCTAGCAATTCTCCTGCTTCAGAGTCCAGATTACTGGAATTACAAACACAATCACCACTCCAGTTCCCTTTCTTACTTTAAACTGTGGTTAAGCCATTACTCAATAAAACTAGATAGGAAAAAATGGATAAATACTAATGTCAGTTCAACTTTATATTAAATTATAGAAATGTATCTTGAACATGTTTATACAGTGTTAGAGGTTAAGAAAGAGGTTGGCAAGAAGACTCAGTGAGCCAGGCGGTGGTAGTGCATGCCTTTAATCCCAGAATTCCAGAGGCAGAGGCAGAGGCAGGCAGATCTCTGTGAGTTTGAGGTCAGCTTGGTCTACAGACTGAGTGCCGGGACAGCCAGAGCTGTTACACAGAGAAACCCTGTCTCAATAAAATAAAATAAGATGGTTTAGTGAGTAAAGGCACTTGTGACAAGCCAAACAACCGGTCAATACTTAAAACCCACACAGTGGAAGGAGAGAACTAAGTCCTATAACCTGTTCTCTAAGTGTCATATATAAATAAGTAAGTATAACTTTTTATTTGTGTTTTATGTACATTGGTGTTTTGTCTGCATATATGTCTGTGTGAGGGTGTAACTTCCCCTGTAACAGGAATTAAACAGTTGTAAGCTGCCATGTGGATACTGGGAATTGAACCCATGACCTCTGCAATAGTAACCAGTGCTCTTAATCATTGAGCCATCTCTCCAGCCCCAAGTGTAACTTTTTAAGAAAAGAATTATCAAACCACAATGCCTTTTAATTCTCTCTGCTTTTGAAGGACTCCTTTGTTTCTGTGCTACTGAGATAGATAACAGCTAAAAAAATTAAATCTGCCCTCTGTTCCAAAGTCCACTAAATAAAAGTTGTGAAAATGTAACAAAGGGCACAGCAAAGAGTAGCACAGGCAATACTTAAAAAAAAAAAACAGCAAGATATCATTCTGAATTTTCCAAATAAAAATTATTAAAAACCCTCTATATGGTGAGAAGACTAATTTGCTTATTACAGATTTCCTTCACGTTCAAAGGCAGTTTCTTTATGATCATTAGACAGGGCTGGACATGTAGTCAGTATGGTTGGCTTGTATGTATGAAGCCATGGGGGTCTACTCCCAATACCACATAAAACTGGGCTGCATGGTGCTTGTCAATAATTCCAGCATTCACGAAGTATAGGGAAGATAACCATGTCATCCCTGCCACAGATCAACTTTGAAGCTGCTAAAGCTACATAAGACCTTTCTGGCCCCTCTCTTTGCTGCCTTCTCTCTTTCCCGCCGTTCCCCTGGGGCAGGCAGGACTTTTCCTGTCTTCCTCTTCTCTTCTGTCCTCTTTCTGTCTCTGTGTCTCTTTACCTCTTTTCAATTTCCTACCCCTCCCTCCTTCCTTCCCTTTCTAATAAAACCTCTCACTCATTAAAAAAAAAAAAGCTACATAAGACCTTGTCTCACAAATAAATATATAAATTAGAGGTGCTGGACATATAGCTCAAGTTGAGTAGTTGGAATGACATGGGTTCAACCACGACTACTGTCACACACACAAAAAGTAAATTCAAGTTGTTCTGGCTATTTTTATTCTCTACTATGAATTATTTTCCCTACCTTTTTCATTTCTTCAACATATGCAATCATGGCTTCTTCTTTAGTCATATCACCCAATGAACTCCAAGCATCCCTAGAAATGAAAATATAAAGGTAATAACAAAAAGATACTTGATTTTTGAGCTAGGCATGCTAGTTCAAGCCTGAACCCATTAAATAATGAAATTATGATAACTGCAGGAAAATGGATACAATTAGAGAAAATCATATGAAATGAATTAAATCAATCTCAGTAAGACAAACATCATGTTTTCTTTCACAAAATCATGTCTGTACTGATGACATGAAAGTTAAGTAAAATGAAGGAGCCCCTCAGGGGACTAATGGGGGAGGGAAGACATGAAAGAGGAGGAAGAATGGGAGGGTAGTAGAGTATGGGAGGCATGTGCTCAAAGTATACTGCATGCAAATAAGCCTTATGTACCCTTTTATGATAATTTTTGAGCATATAAAACAAGAGGATTTTAAACATTAAGCATTCACCCCATTCACATATGTGTAGACCACAGAAGACAGAAGACTATAAACTATGAATAAATGTTTCCTAAAGACCCTTTAGCCGGGCGTTGGTGGCGCACGCCTTTAATCCCAGCACTCGGGAGGCAGAGGCAGGCGGACCTCTGTGAGTTCGAGACCAGCCTGGACTACCAAGCGAGTTCCAGGACAGCCTCCAAAGCCACAGAGAAACCATGTCTCGAAAAACCACAAAAAAAAAAAAAAAAGACCCTTTAAAAGTTTTCAAGGATTTTTAAATAATTTATTTGCATGAGTGCATGTTTGTAGAAGCTTATGTATGTGCAGGAACTCAAAGAAGCCAGAAGAGATTGCTGGACTCCCTGGAACAGGAGTTCCAGGAAGTTGTGAGCCACCATAGGTCCTCTGCAAAAGTAAGTACATTTAATCACTGAGTCATCACTCCAGCCCCAAAGGTCTAGTATTACTCTTTAATTTTTGTGCGCATATATATGGAGCCTGAATATATGTGTGTGTGCCATTTGCATGAAACTGCCCTGACAGGCCAGAAGAAGGCATCAGATCTCCTGGAACTGGAGTCACAGGCAACAGGCCAGAAGAAGGCATCAGATCTCCTGGAACTGGAGTCACAGGCAGTTGTAAGACACCAACTGTGGGTACTAGGAACCAAACCCAAGGCCTCTGCAAGAGTACCAACTGCTTTTAACCACTGAGCCATCTCTCCAGCCTCAAAAAAGATTTTATGTCATTATAAAGAACAATAACAGTAACAAATGGTTTAGAAGACAATAAAAACTGTGAAAGTCATGTTGCACATAAGTAGAAATTCTGGTTTAAAATTTTCCATTAATTTAAATGTATAACTAATTTATATTCTAGAAATAAAGATGGAAATAGGGCTGAGGCTGTTATGCAGTTGGTAAAAGTATTTACCTAGCATGCACAAGGCCCTGGAATAAACTAGGTTTTGTAGTTCATGCCTGTAATCTTGCCTATAACCTCAATACTGGGAAGGCAGAGAAAGCCAAAGTTCAAGGCTACGTATCAGTTTTAGGATGAGAGTGTCTCAAAAAAAAAATAACACAAATCCCCTCTTCAAACATTTTTTTAAGCAGTTCAACTCTAGGGAAAAAAATAATAATTTCCATCTGTGAATCCAGTGACCTAATTATTTGAAAAACGTGATGCACTAATTACCATTCTCCACTGATAAAGTCAGGATTTTGTAACTCTGCAATAGTAAACATATCAGCTGCTGACAAGTATTACTCAATTCAGAAAATGGTAGCGTATCTAAATATCTCATGACTCTTACCTATAACATTAGGAACCAATATTCTACTCAAGTACAAGTGGGTCAGGAGTCATCTTAGACCAAAGTAAATGTAGCAGTTCCTGAGTCATGCCGAGTTACACATTACCTTAAACTCTCAAAGCAAACAACTCACTTGACAAGCAAAAGCCATTATTTTCTTTGGCAGTTCAAATAGATAAGTTTGTTTTTTGCTTTTTTTGAGAAACGGTCAGGCTGGCCTCACACTCACTAGGTAGCCAAAGGTAGCCTTGAATTCCTGATCCTCCTGCCTCTTTCTCAAACTGTTGGAATTAATGAGTTATACTGCTAACAGCAAACTTGTTCATTTAATATGGGGGATTGGTCTACAGGTGGTGGGAGGAGCCTCCACAAAAGGACAGAAAGACTAAATGCAAACATTTTCTATCTGTAAAGTACCTACCCACAGCACTGCTGTTTTTCTATCTTCCCCAAGATTTTCCTAATTATGCAAAATGTACTAAAGAATAAAATTATGAGCAATACCTACGAGGCTTTATGCACAAAACACATAAGGGAACAGCTGTATAATTAATTCACTTAATGAAAATTCTTCCTTAGCTCTGTAAATAAAATTACCATTTATATCTTCCAATGGGGTCCCAGAATCCAGGCCTTGAAAGCTTACAGGGTCCTTCAGTTGCCTGTTTGTAGAAGCTATAGAACTTGAGCATCATTTCATTGGTTGGCTGGAATGATCCTATGGGAAACAAACATTAAATACAAACCACGTGGGACTACAACTCATAAAATAAAGCTGTGTACTAGCTGAGCCAGTGGTTTCTTGTTTGGTTTGGTTTTATTCAGATAGTCTTACACTTGTCTGGAACTGCTAGGTAGCCCAAACTGGCTTCAAACTCAACAATCTTTCTGAATCAGCCCCCTGAGTGCTGATAAAAGGGCAGAAGTCACCACAACTGGGTTACATCTCTTTATAATTCAGATCATTTATTTCTACCTGAAAAACATCAGGTATTAGTTGTTCTCCTTTGATTTCAAAAAGTTCTCAAAATTTAAGGTTTGTTGTTGTTGTTTTGTTTTTGTTTTTTCATTTTCTTTTTTTGAGACAGGGTTTCTCTGTGTAGCTTTGGAGCCTATCTTGGCACTCACTCTGTAGACCAGGCTGGCCTCAAACTCACAGAGATCCGCCTGCCTCTGCCTCCTGAGTGCTGGCATTAAAGGCATCTGCCACCACCACCCAGCTGAAAGTTTAAACTTTTAAGAACAATATCAGTTCAATAAATAAATTAGCAACCATTTTACAAATGTAACTGAAATAACCAACAGCTATTACATTAAAAAGAAATATATGAAGAACTGTCTTCAAAGAAATTAATATGTCTAAAATTACAAGTATAAATGAGAAATGTTACATATTATTAGTTATTATTATTTTATTACTATTTACCAAAGTTCATACTAATGGCTTTTCCAAAGTCCTTTATCTAGTGAAAACTGGCAATTTGGCCAAGAAGTTGATATTTACTGTTAAAAAGTTTTAATAACCGAAGTGAACATGCAGCTTTTCACTCATGATACTCAGTTACCATATAAACTGGGCTGACCTGGAACTTACTATGTTACCCCATTAATCAACCTATTCTCGTCAATGATGCCAGGTGGTGCATTCCTTTAATCCCAGCACTCAGGAGGCAAAGCAGGTGGATCTCTGTGAGCTCGAGGCCAGCCTGATCTACAAAGTGAATTCCAGGACAGGCTCCAAAGCTACAGAGAGAAATCCTGTCTCGAAAAACAAAAACAAAAGCCTCATGTTTACTTTGGTTATTAAAATTATACTTTGCATAATATTCAATTGTTTTTATAAAACAATTATATCTATTAAAAGAGTAATTTATCAAAAAAACAAGAAATTAAATAAATAATGAAACAGGGAAAGAATACAGATAGAAAGACCGATGGCTTCGTTCAAACAGTAACATTTAATAACGTTAGACCTCCATACAAACAAACAAACAAACGGACAACTGGTCGACCTGCTCATCTCTCTCTCTCTCTCTCTCTCTCTCTCTCTCTCTCTCTCTCTCTCTCTCTCTCTCTCTCTACACACACACACACACACACACACACACACACACACACACAGATAGATAAATATACATATATAAAGTATAGAAAAAGAAAAACTCACTGAGCACTGAGACCTCCACAAAAATAAATAATATACATAGATAGATAAATAAATAGGAAAGGATGCAAAAAAATGAGTAATTTATAACTACAGCTCTAAAATATATACTGCAAAGAAATATAAATAATGGCATAGAAATTTCATGACCTGCTATTAAATGGGGGAAGGAAGAAAGCATCTTAGAAAGCCATAAACAGGGGCTGGAGAGATGGCTCAGTAGTTAAGAGTAATAGCTGCTCTTGCACAGACCCTAGGTTTGATTCCCAAAACTCAGATGGCAACTCACAACCATCTGTAACTCTATCTCCAGGGTATCTGATACTCTTTTCCGGTCTCCATGGGCTTGTGACACGTACAAAATACAGAGACATACAAGCAAGCAAATCAGTCACACACATTACGAGAGGAAAAAAAAAAAACATATATAATAAGACCAAAATAAGGTGTGGTGTGTGTGTGTACAGTACAGTATACCAAGTGAGATGACCCATCTGTAATCTCAGCACTTAGGAAGTACAGGCAAAAGGATTACAGTCAGGGAAAGACCAGAATGAGATAACCAGTGGGATTATATAGTAAGTTCCAGGCCAGCCTAGTCTACAAAGGAACAATTGTGCCAATAAGTAACACAATATGCACGAGAATGTTAAAAGGTGATGTTTCTGGATACTGGGTAGGTATACAGATAATTTCATTTCCCCCTTTTCTGTTAAAAAAACTCAGTGTTGAGCCGGGCGTTGGTGGCGCATGCCTTTAATTCCAGCACTCGGGCGGCAGAGACAGGTGGATCTCTGTGAGTTCGAGGCCAGCCTGGTCTACAAGAGCTACTTCCAGGACAGCCTCCAAAAGCCACAGAGAAACCCTGTCTTGAAACACACACACACACACACACACACACACACACAAAGAAAACCCTGTCTCAAAATATCCAAAAAAAAAAGTGAACTACTTGCATAAAACTCTTAAATCATACTTTCCTATAAATATTCTTAATTGAGCATCTTAAAATACATCTAATTGAATTCCAATATTGTTTCCTTTTTTGTTTTTTTGAGATAGGGTCTCTATGCAGATCAAACTGGTCTCAAACTCAGAAATACACCTGTGTTTGCCTCTGGAGTGCTGAGATTAAAGGAGTGCACCACCACATTGAGTTTATTGTTTCCTTTCTTCATCTAACTGATTTCAACTTACCCTTTAGCTTTCCATGTATCCTCCTCCAATACAATGTTAAAGGTATAAAATAAAACACCATTAAGCCTAGAGCTTGTACATACTAGGCAAGTGATCCACCCCTGAGCCTTCACTCCAGCCTTCCTGATCCTCCAAAGAAAATGGGATTACAGCCTGTGCCACTGTTTTGGAGGGATGCAGGAACTGAATTGGGGCTTTGTACATGGTAATGCATGCCCTACAAGCTTTCAAAACTGTACTTGAAGTTATTGATAAGCTATGCTAACTATTCATACTTTGTCCAAAGATGATAAATAAAACACAAGAAGACATTAAATATTACAGTAATATAGTAATGCTATGTTTGGCTTGGCTTACAAATCTAGCATACTTGGTAACAATGCTTAAGATAATTTTAATCTAATTACTACGAAATGTAAATCATAATGCAAACGGATACAAACTTAAAATGTGAAAGTCTCCCTTCCCAAGCTTCTCTATTTAGAACAGAAAGAAAAATAAAATTTAGTGATGGAAAAAAATTCCTTAACACTGGTCAGACAAAATTACAAAAAGTTTTGCAAATTGTTAACAGGATACACAAACAGAAGAAAACCGTATCTAGATACATCATAGTCAAAATAATCATTTTACAAGTGAATATATTTGTTCTTTCCTTACGTTTCACATAAAAAGTTTCTAAAGGTCTAGATTACACACTTTTGAGTTACGTAGCACCAGACATCCCACCCTAGATTTTTTTTTACATAGTTACTGAGAAGACCCGTTTTCAACGACATAAACTATTTAAAGTCTGGATAATACGTTCACCTTCGGCCTCAAAGATCAGGGGTAATTAACTCACATTCAATACCATCCTTTCAATTACATTCCTATTAATGGCTGAATGGGCGCTAAATAAAGTAGAACCAGCTGAGAGGCTTTAACAGGGTAGCCTAGTGCACGTACCATTTTTCGGCAAACTCTGGATCACCTTCACGGCCGCCTCAAACCTGGTTTCATATACCGATCTTGTGTCCGCCATCTCCAGCTGCCAGAGCCGGCCGCGGTCCCAAGGTCTGTCCGCCGGAATCAGACAGCAGCAGCAGCAGCACCAGCTTTCCCAAGAGCCTGCATGAAACTGAACACCGAGCGCAGCCGCGGATTACGATAGCCCGAAGTCTGGCGGCGGGGCAGAACAGCGGGTCAATTCCCCTTTGCCCAGTGCAATCAAGGCCACACCGACCAAGGTGGCCTGTTCCTTCCTCCTTCGTGGGGCGTGACTAAGAGAACATCCCAGCCAACAAAAACAGCAAAACAACTCACCGAGAGGAAGAGCATCTCTAGCAGCAGGCCTTGGGGATTGCGCCGCCAGGAACAGCGGACCCTTTCTCCCACCCCGATGAGGCTGGCCGACCAGCCACACCCCCCATTCCGGAGAAATCGTTCGGTCGGGGGGCACCCTCCTCGCAGCCCCGCCCCGGAGTCACCGGAGGACCCACTAGCTGCTGCTGCCGCCTCCGCCGCGGTGCAGCAAACCCCACCCACCCGCTCGGCCGCGTTGACGCGCACGGACTGAGCGCGCCGGGAGCCTCCGCTGGGGTGGGTCTGCGGGGCACCCCGTGCTTGTTTATGTTCCGGCTGGGGGCACAGAGGCTGGTGACGCACTAGGATTCTACACCGGGTCCCAAAGGCGCCCCTGGTTACCGCTAGTGTTAGAGGGAAAGAAAAAAAAAAAGAGTCCGCGATCCTCAAGCCTGGCCTCTCTCGGGTTAAACCCTGTGGTAGTACTGAGTCATAGAAATTCGCTTCCAAACTTGCTTTTCGCCACTTAATCTGTGACCGAGGGCAAGTCGCTTGGCCTCTCCAGCGGATTTACACCGCGCTAAAGGGTAGACGGGGATTAAAGACGAGGATGGGAGTGCTTAGCCTTGGCCCACAAGCTTTCCCCGCCTCCGCCAAGGGCGGCGGGGGAGCGAGCAAAGATGAGCGGCGGTCGTCCGCACCTCCCCACTCTTCACGCCCACGAGTCAGGCACAGCCCACCTCCTGGCCGGCCGGAGGGTGCGGATGGAGAAGCGCGCGTGCGGAGCTGCCGAGCAGTCCCGGCGTGGGCGGAAAGCTCGCACGGACGTGGGGTCCTGGGGCCTGCAAATCCAAGGACGCCCTGTTGGGTGCGTCATTTTTGTCGGTTTTAGGATGGTTGGGAGGGTTACTCGTACAATCTAGTTGCGAACCACAAACAACTCTTCCCTTAGAGCCGCGGTGTCGGCATTTACCTTGAAATAGCCAAATGACGGGCAAGGCCTGTCCGGTTAGGTCTCGACGCCTGCCCCCTCACCTTGCCCCGCGGGCTTATGGGAACTGTAGTCCCCCGGCGCTTCCGGACACCTTCCTCAGTGGGCTGGCGTCATCCCCTCCAGTTCCGGTTCGGTTTCTCAGTGTAGCCCACACTCCCTGTATGGCGGAAGTCCTTTTTTTTTTTTTTTTTTTTTCCCGTTTGCGTTTGGGGAACGGCCTCCGAAGAGTGTGCATCCTGCGCTCCCTGCAAAAAGTAGTTTCTCTGACAGGCATATTTATTCCCCGACAGCAGGTTCACCTTGGCATTGCGGGTAGTGTCACCTGAAGAATTCCCTCAGAACTCTTGCGCCCTGTACTGAAAGGTGACCGGGTGTTAAATAACCCAGGAAAAAATTCAAGACTCACCGATTAACCAAAAGACAAAACACTGAGGAAGAGTAAGCGCAGGCATCGGGAGAGAATCGCTTACAAGTACCTCACCGCCTTCATATGTGATACTTGGCAAGCGTACGATGTATTCCAAAAGCACTGTAGGGTGTTTATAAATGAGGAAATGTTAGTTGACTTGCCCAAGGTCCTAAAATTTAGTGAGTTAGTAAGCTGTCAATCAAATCATAAAGTCTGCTATAATTTAGACTTTTACTCGTGCGAAAGGAAGTTTTAACTTTCTCAAGATGAAAAGGCTTTGCGTGTTTAATTCGTTTTCCTCACCTGCTATTTTTTTTTAACTGAAGTCCTTCTCTGTCCTAGTCTACTCAGTTATGCATATTCATAACAAGGGTTCGGATGTTTAATACTTCATTTTAACAACTATTAATTAGACTTACGTAACAAGCTACCCTGCTGGTTCTGTTGATCTTTAGGTAATATCGATTGCATGTTTTGCTAGTGTTTGCACTGAATTTTATTGTATGGTTTTATGAATTTCCAGTTATAGAATAGTATAAGGATAAAGGAAATTAAGGTTGTTCGGGTAAACGATTTTTAAAGTAGCTTTTTTTTAAAGTAACTAAGTGTCTACAAATAAATGGACTTTTTAAATGTGGTTTATATACATGGAAAACTGATGAACCTTAAGAAAAATGAAAACCTCCCAATCTTTGTTTTTGTTACATTTAGTTGTGTCTATGGAGGGCAGGTCATGTGTAACACAAAAGTGCAAGTCAGGAAAACTTGCAAAATTAGTTCTCTCTTTCTACCATAGGAGTTCTGGGGATTGGATTCAGGTGGCCAGGCTTGGCAGCAAATGTTCTTATTCACTAAGCACTTCGGTGGTCACAAATCCTGTCATTCCTGATTGTTTGGATGGAGCTGCTGATTATGCAAAGTGAAATAAATCAAGCACATGAAAACAAGTATTGCATGATCTAATTGTGAAATATATATATAAAAAATTGATCTCTGAGATTGAAAGTAGTGTTTAGACATACCACCCTAAAGGGACCAGATCTGGTCCAATCGCAGAAGCTAAAAAAGGTTGGGGCTGCTGTGCTGGCTAATTTTACGTTCACTTGACTGTCACAGGCTAGAGTCATCTAAGAGAAGGGAGATCCCAATTGAGAAAATACCTCCTTGAGATCAGGCTGTTGGCAACCCTGTAGAGCATTTCTTTAATAAGTGATTGATGTGCAAGGGCCCATCCCATTGTGGGTGGTGCCATTCCTGGGCTGGTGCTTCTAGATTAAAAAAAAAAAAAAGCAAGCCATTTATGAGCAAGCAAGTAAGCAACCTCTCCATGTCTTCTGCATCAGCTCTTGTTTCCAGATCCCTTCCCTGTTTGTGTTCCCACCCTGACTTCCTTCAAAGATGAACAGTGCTGTGGAAGTTTAAAGCAAATTAGCCCTTTTTGCCCCAGGTCGTTTGACCATGGTGTTTCATTATAACAATTGTAACCCATATTAACACAGCTGCCTAATACTTAAGAAGTTAAGAGTAGAATAATTACTAGAGGTGGGACAGGAAGTAGAGAAACCAGAAGTTTGACTCATGATACTAAGTTATAAGGAAATAAGAGTAAGAAGTTCTCATGTGATAGTATACAGTGGAATAATTATAGATAATCATGTATAGTATATTTTAAAAAATTGGAAGAAAGTGTGATTTTTTTTACCACAAACTAATGATTCAAGGGGCTAGAGAAATAGTTCAGTGGTTAAGAGCACTGACTGTTCTTCCAGAAGACCCAGGTTCAATTCCCAACATTCACATGGTAACTCATAATGTCTGTAACTCCAGTTCCATGAGATCTGATACCTTCTTCAGGCTTCCTTAAGTACCAGGCACACAGTGGTACACAGACATGCAGCCAAAACATTAGTATACATAAAAAAGATTATCAACAATATTTAATCTCTTTAATTGGTTCAAGAGATAGATTATGTAACATGGTTTTAATATTATACAAAGTATATATATGTAAAAATCATAGTATCACATAGATGTATATTTTTCACATTCATTAAAGAGATTAATTTATTTTTGAACAATAATGAGTTGGGGAGTTAGTAAAATGGCTCAGTGGGTAAAAGTGCTTGCCAGCAACCTAACAATCTGAGTTAAATTCCCAGGACCCACATGGAGGAAGTCAAGAGCTAACTCTTGAAAGTTGTACTCTGGTTTACACACACAGAAGGGAAACTGATAAAGGAGAGTCACACTCTAGCTGAGGAGTTCAAACCAGTCCTTGCTGTGAAATAACCCTTTATACACTGTGTGAATAGATGTCACTGTGATTGGTTTATAAACAAGATGACTTCCCAATAGGTGAACAAGATAAAGGTGGGTGGGAAACCCAAACTGAGAATGATGGGATGAGTAAGGGTGGAGTCAGAGAAGTTGCCAAGCAGATGCCCAGAGAGCAGGAGGTGAACGTGCTGTGCTAATGAAGGTACCGCCACCTGGCAGAGCATAAATAAGGAACATGGGTTAACTTAAAATGTAAGATCTAAGCCGGGCATTGGTGGTGCATGCCTAAATTTAATCCCAGCACTTGGGAGGCAGAGGCAGGCGGATCTCTGTGAGTTCGAGGCCAGCTTGGTCTACAAAGCGAGGACAGCCTCCAAAACAATACAGAGAAACCCTGTCTCGAAAAACAAAAAAGAAAGAAAAAAAAACACTCACACTCATAATATAGGATAAAGAAATCTAATTTTTAAAAGGGTTTTCTTTATTTGTTTGTGAGTAAGAGCTCACTCAGTAGTCAGGAACATGTATTGCTCTTCTAGAGGACCAAAGTTTGGTTCCTGGGACCTATATTGTATAGGCCACAGCCATCTGTAACTCCACATCCAGGAGGTAGGACTCCTCTGTTCTCCACAGGCACCTATACACACACATTCACACACACACACACACACACACACACACACACACACATTGAAAATCAATTTTTAAAAAGTAATGTGTATATTTATATTGGTTTAAAGTGGTAAGTTCTGCTGTAATATATTCATGGATGTGATAGATTAAATCAGTTCCCAACTGCCTTCTAATTATATGAATCTATTATTCTAACTGAAAATATCACCTCATGAGATACTGTTTAATGTCTTTAAGCATTTTCAGTATATGACCTAATGTGAATATTCTTGATCATGTATTGCTATAAGTGTTTTATTTTAAAATACTGCTTTTGCATATGGCCATAAGAAATATAAAATTATAGATTTATGGGTCTTAAGAAGCATAGGTGAATAAAGATTAAGTTTTAAATGATTATTTTAGATGTTCCTTCCTTTACAAATACTTCCTAAATTCCTACTATGTATGAATGTGGTTGGGAGTGCATCCCAGTGTCAGAGTTCTTCCCCCACATGTCTGAGACCCTGGAATTGGATTCCTGTTCTGCTAAAAATAAACAATATTAATCTCAAGGAACTCAAAATTTAATGTTACAAGCAAGTCATATAAGATAATTAAAACAAAGTAGTAATCTTGAAAATAGATATATAGAAATATTGAAGGATATAAAAACAGCTGCATTATGTTCACCAAAACTTTTGTGTAAAAATAATCAGAATGGCCGGGCGTTGGTGGCGCACGCCTTTAATCCCAGCACTCGGGAGGCAGAGGCAGGCGGATCTCTGTGAGTTTGAGACCAGCCTGGACTACCAAGCGAGTTCCAGGACAGCCTCCAAAGCCACAGAGAAACCCTGTCTCGAAAAAC